GGGGGGGGGGGGGGGGGGGGGGGGGGGGGGGGGGGGGGGGGGGGGGGGTGGGGGGAGGGGGGGGTGCCGATGATGGATCGGGGGGACGAGGAGGATGGGGGGGATGAAGAGGGGAGGTAAGATCATACCTAGTATGAGTATGATGATGGAGAGAGTATGTGTGTAGAATGCATACGTTATCTTACATCCGTAGTAAAGCAAGTTTAAGGAATACGAAATATCACGATTCTGCATCCGTCCCCTGGGCGTTCAGGAGACCTGCTTTGGGATCGGAGGTTGGCAGAAGGACGGGTGTTCCGGACGCAGTGTAACACGGGTATTTTATGCAGACCGCCGAAACCGCCTTTATTAGTCTTTCTTCTCCGTTTGGAGTTCATCTGTCAAACTCTCTGGCAAACGGTGTCTCGGAATCCGTCCTGCTGTTTTGCGTGTAACTGTAATTTCGTACGCTTGGTTTCCAGTCACTCATGGGTTAAATCAGCAAAACGATAAAACAAGGCGAATGGAAGGAGGATTTGGTTCTCTAGATCGGTCTACCAAAATCTAGAAGTTAGGTTTGAAGATAGGTTATTTCCAAATTTCTTCATATTCCTAGAACCGCTAACAAGACCAAGGTGAGGTCTCGCTTCCGGTGTCCCACCTCGGTGACGCCCCACACCAACGCACGGACCACCTGCTTGCTCTGGACTTCGCGTCTGGAATTTCGAAGCTCCAAGCTCGCGTTCGCAGGCTTGCTTCCCGCTGTTTGCTTTCCTTGCATCCTCCACCCTCCATCAACCAGCCTCGCCGGCTATTCAGTATCCGGACGAACCTGCGAACTCCCGCCGTTTCACGCACGCCTAGACCGACGACTTTCCCAATTTTTCGAACCCCCCAAAAAATCGAGAAGGGGAAACACCAAGCGACATCAGCACGATGGTTCAGATTAGCGAAGTCCGTGGCAATAGCCGCGACAACCGCACGGCGGCGCACACACACATCAAGGGTCTTGGGCTCAATTCCCATGGCGTGGCGGATAAGCAGGCCTCTGGGTTTGTCGGCCAAACTTCTGCTCGCGAGGTATGATTAGATAAGCCACCGAATTGGAAGGACGAGGGACGGCCGGAAGAAAATTGAATTGGGCAACGGGGATTGTCGGGACTATGCGGCTAACGTGGGCTTTGGGATTTCTAGGCATGTGGCGTCGTGGTCGACCTCATCAAGGCACACAAGATGGCTGGGCGGGGCGTGTTGCTCGCAGGTGGGCCCGGCACAGGCAAGACGGCGCTGGCGCTGGCCATCAGCCAGGAGCTCGGCACCAAGATTCCCTTCTGCCCCATCACGGGTAGCGAGATCTACTCGACCGAGGTGAAGAAGACGGAGGTGCTGATGGAGAACTTCCGGCGGGCGATTGGGCTCAAGGTCCGGGAGACCAAGGACGTGTACGAGGGCGAGGTGACGGAGCTGACGCCTGAGGAGGCGGAGAACCCGCTCGGCGGGTACGGCAAGACCATCAGCACGCTGCTGATCGGGCTCAAGAGCGCGCGGGGCCAAAAGAAGCTGCGTCTGGACCCCAGTATCTACGAGGCCATCCAGAAGGAGCGTGTGCAGGTCGGTGATGTCATCTACATCGAGACCAACACGGGTGCTTGCAAACGTGTCGGCCGCTCCGATGCCTACGCGACCGAGTTTGACCTCGAAGCCGAGGAGTACGTGCCCATCCCCAAGGGCGAGGTTCATAAGAAGAAGGAGATCGTCCAGGATGTGTCGCTGCACGACCTCGACGTGGCCAATGCTCGCCCGCAGGGCGGACAGGATATCATGTCCATGATGGGCCAGCTGATGAAGCCCAAGATGACCGAGATCACCGACAAGCTGCGTGGGGAGATCAACAAGGTTGTCAGCAAGTATATCAACCAGGGTGTTGCCGAGCTCGTCCCGGGTGTGCTGTTTATCGACGAGGTATGTCCCACACACCTAACCGGTCACCTGCAAAGTGTGATATCGATTATGATATGTGACACATGTCCCAATTTTGTAGCCCATTTGAATAGTCCGAAGCTGACCCCTCCTCCGCAGGCCCAAATGCTAGACATCGAGTGCTTCACCTACCTCAACAAAGCCCTCGAATCGTCCATCTCACCCATCGTGGTGCTGGCCTCCAACCGGGGGATGGCCGCCGTCCGCGGCGCCGACGACCTCGTGGCCGCACACGGCGTGCCGCCTGATTTTCTGACCCGCCTCCTCATCATCCCCACGCACCCGTACGAGCTCGACGAGATCAAGCGCATCGTGCGCATTCGCGCGTCGACCGAGGGCGTCCAGGTCACGGATGCTGCGATCGACAAGATTGCGGAGCATGGTGCGCGGATTAGCTTGCGGTATTGTTTGCAATTGTTGACGCCGGCGAGGTATGTGTCCCCCTCACTTTTTCCCTTTGTCTCGGATACTCGCTTTAGAGTAGGGATAGGCAGGCAATGAATAAGATGCTAACCCAATAATCACCTACAGCATCCTGGCGCGTGTCAACGGCCGCACCCAAATCGATGTCCCCGACGTAGCCGAGTGCGAGGACCTCTTCCTGGACGCCCGCCGCAGCGCCAATGTGCTGGCAAGCGAGTCCGGTCAGGGTTTCATCTCATGATCTTCTCTCCCAATGCATCTTTTTGTTGCCAAAATTTGACATGAGGCCAAATAATCCCCCTCCATTCCCGTCTGGTAGCATACCACCGCCGCAGTAGACTGGTTAGATTGATAGATCATTTCACCGAGAATGGGGAAAAGATGATGAGATAGGCGAGTGGCCAGGCAAAGCGGCTGGTTGGACTGAATGGGCGGGCGAGTGGGTGGACCTGTGAAAGGGGGGGCCGGTTGTCATTTTGGGGGTGGGTGTCACTGGTGTCACTGTTGTCACTGTTGTCCTGTTGTTGGCCTGTCGTTGTTACGGGGGTCTTTATCAGGGGGGGGGGACGTAACTGAACTGAACTAAAGGCAACTAACTCGTCACATATCTGATTGTCGTCTTCTTTTTTTTCTTTTTTGTTTCCGGCAAAATTGTATGATAGAATGACGGAACGGACATGATTTCGGTCGGGTTCTGGGGACGGGGAAGGGGGAAGGGAACACACAAAACATCTGCTTGCCGTTGTTGGTAGGTAGGTTCTGGAGTTGGCGCGGGCGAAATAGGCGATGGCGATTTGAAACTTGAATTTGTTTTCTGTCTCTCCACCTTACTATTTTTCGCTGTTTTCGTTCTCTGGCCTGGCTTGATGGGGATTTTGTTTCATCGGTGGGTGTTGGTGTTGGTTGCGTTTACTGACTGGTGGCTTTGTTTCTTCCCGCTGTGGGTTGTTTGTTTTGGTGATGATGGTGATGGTGATGGTGACGGTGACGGTGACGGTGGCTGCATTCTGGTAATATTCGGCTTTTTTCTTTGATGATACTCCTCTTCAACCTCGTCACCATCACCAAGCTATCGCCACCCATTGCGGTAGGTAGACAGGTAGACAGGCAGACAGGCGGGCAGGCAGGTAGGTAGGTATGCATACTGTTTAGTAGGTAATTATTAACCAACGAACCGACTCAAACCAGCCCAAAACCAACCTAGCCAAAACCAACAACAACAATATAAATCTAAAAGCCCACCACCAACAATTTCCAATCCAAACAATCCGGCATTTTTGCCCCCCCTAGATCCCGGCAAACCCCTGCCAAACGCACTACTAACTAGGGAAGAAACAGAACAAAGGTAAAGAAGAACAACGCTGTGAGGGGTGGCCGGTCGGTCGGGAAAGGGAGGGAGGAATGCGAAGGAGTTGGTTGTTGTCTGTTTATTTGCTACTGACTGATACGATGCGATGGGAAAGCTAAGCCTGATTCGGCGGGGACATGGGCTTTGTTTCGTTTTCTTTTTTTTCCCCTATTTTCTCTACGAGTTCCTGTTAAGGTACGGAGGTATGATGTGTAATGGGTTGTGCTGTGTGCATGTGTGTGTGTGTGCATGGATGGATCTCTATGCAACTTTATGTGTGAGTGGGTGGGTGAGTGGGCGTGTGTAAGTGTCCTACATTCGCATTCCACTCTGGGGAACAGAACAGACAGGACAGAACAGGCCGCAACAGGCCACAACCATCAACGTTTCCCCCTTCTTTCTTTGAAGAACACAGGCAGGACACGGACACACACGCAAAGAAAAAGATGGGGTCAAGCAAGCAAATGCAAGACAGGCAGGCATTGTCCCGTGGCGGAGTTCATATTTTTCGAGTTGTTTGGTTTGAAGCCGAGGGAAGATTGCCGATACTGGTATGTACGATACCGGTCTCCGTCACCGATCCAACGAACCGCCCCATCTTTCCGTATCCATCCCGTCTGTCATCCGTGAGTGGTTCCCCATGCCATCTGATCCGCGGTCTCCCGTCCGGATGGATTTCCGCCCGTTGCCATTTTTTGGTAGACTGCGAACGGAATTTAGACAAGTAGAGTCTTGGCTATTTTTTAGGAGAGTGGGGGCAGTTCTAGGTCCAGGTTAAGTTCAGGGTCAACTGGTCAAGGTCTGGGCTCTCAGTCCCGATCTGGGGAATTTGACAGACGGGAGAGTGCAAACGCTGGGGGCTGGCTGGCTGGCTGACGGGAAGACAAAGAAACCTTCTGGGATGAGCAACTCCACTGCCCTGCGGCGCATTCCCGAGACATTCACATCAGAAAGAGGGGAGGGGAATTATCGATGAGGGCGTGATTGGAATTGAGGGTAATGGTTGAGGGGGTGTTCCAGTTATTGGGGCGAGATTTCTGCTGTCTGTATCTGGTACGTATTTGTTTCGTGTTTTTGACTAGGTACGATAACTCACACATTTTATTTACTTTGTCTCCCTTCTTGAATGACAACGAAGATGATCAAACCGACTAACACGGCAATAGAACGAACGGTAAGATTCGTGGCCTACATTACCAATAAGATGGGGCCATTCCATCCGTCAAAGTTGTTGCTGTTGGGGATTACCTGCAAGTCGTCATTGTCCATAACCTGGCCCCCCCTGGCCAGGCGTGGTACGATTGGGTGGTATGCAACGGGAGTAAGTGGAGGAACGGACGGACAACGGGATGAAGCTCACAAAGGAGACAATCCCTCCCGACCAAGCCACGGTTTGTGACGTATTATTATTTTATTGGGGATGTGAGGACTCTCAGATGAAACATGCGATTCTCTTTCTCTCATTCTCTCATTCTCTCATCACCCCCCTCTCTCAGTGTGTCTCTGTCTCTTACTCACCCCCTTTCTTTTGCCTCGTCGTTCTTGGGTTGTCTTTCAAGCCAGTCTGGACATCTTGCTTCCTTCCACAGCCCATGCAAGCCAGGCGGACAGAGAGACACACACAGAGAGAGAGACAAGAGAATACCCGGGGAGACGCCCGAGGAAAAGACGAATCATCACCACCGTCACTGATCTGTGGTTGGACCAGATTCGGCCTCCACCCAGCCCTGGCTCTTCCCCTTTCTTATACCCGATCTCCGTTTGTCGAATCACACAGCAATTGTTCCAACCGGTGTTCCGAGTAATTAAGAGGGACAAGAAAGAGAAAGTAGAGGGGAAATAAGAAAGGGAACAAACGACAAAACCTACCAACCAGCCAGCCACCCTTTCATAAATCACAGGTCACAACCAGAGAGAGACACATCGGCATCCACTCAACAAAAAAAGGAGTCCTGACTTTCCAGCCTACTCCCACCATTCCCTTTGACTGACCCTCCTCGGTTAATCTAGCCATGGCTGCGGTGAAGACAGCCGGGTCAGACCCCGGATCAGAGTTAGTTCCTCCAGAGACAACAACGACATCAACAAAAACACCAGATACCACAACCACTACCACCGTCGAAGCAGCAGAAACAGAAGCAGCGACGGGAACTCCTAAAGAATCCACTTTATCCTCCTCCACCTCCCCCCTCACCTCTCCTACCACCAGCCCCCAACCTCCCTCAATCCCCACAACCACAACCCGCCCCACAGCTACTGCTCCCCCAACTGCTGCTCCCCCAACTACTAAACGCTCTCTCACCCGCAAGCGAGCGGCCGCAATCAACACGGAGCAGGCCAACCGGTCAAGCAAAGAAGACGGGGGCCTTAACACCGCCGGGACTGCTACGGCGAGCTTGGCCAGCCCAGGAGGTCGTCGTCGTCAGCAGCAGCCTTCGTCGTCAACGTCGACCACGACGACGACTTTTGATGCCAACGGGGGGTTGGTGTGTTTGTGTACGCCGGCGCCTAAGGTGCCTAGGCCGCGGAATGGTATGTCCTTGTTTTTCTTCCGCTTATCTCTCAGGTCCTTACATCTCTTTTCTTGGTTTGTGAGCCTTCTTTTGCACCACTGTTATTCAACTGTTTTGGGAGAAGGGGCGTATATACGACCAAGAGGAATCCCTCTCACTATTTAACTCTTCCTATTACTTCTTTCTTCCCCCCATCCCCCTTAATTTTGTGTCGTATCAACACACCGCCTCACTTCTTCCCTTTGTCGTCTGTTACTGGAATCCAAAGTCACACAACCTCCCCCCCGAGAGCCATTCACAGTCGGTCTAAAAAGGGGGAATCCACCGCACCCCCAACCCAAAAAACACACCTAACAAAAGAATGAAAGGAAAAGAAAACCCCACTAACCCCCCCTACCCCCTAATACAGCCTTCATCCTCTACCGTCAACACCACCAAGCCCAAGTAGTCCAACAAAACCCAGGGCTGGCCAACCCCGAAATCTCCAAGATCATCGGCGAGCAGTGGCGCGACGAGTCCGAAGAGCGCAAGAGCAAGTGGAAAGAACTCGCCGAGGAAGAGAAACAGCGGCATCAGCGGCAGTATCCGGACTATCGGTACCAGCCGAGGCGGGGGAATAAGAATAGCGGGGGGAGTAACGGCGGCGGTGCTGCTCCTTTGTCTGCTAGGTTGGGTGGCACGGCAGGAGGAGGAGGAGGAGGAGCATCAAACGACGATCCGCATCGGTGTGGAAAGTGTGGTGGGAAGTATATTACCACACCACGGACGCCATCAACCCCGTTCGTGTCGTCGTCGTTGTCGTCGTCGTCGTCCGTGAAGCCTGGAAGTACATCGTACGGCCCTCCCCCAACAACTCCAGGACCTGGAGGGTATCACAACCCGATGTATCCCCAACAGCAACACCCTTACTATCCGTCTACTCGGGGCGGTGAGATGAGCGGTCACGGTACCAGCAGTAGCCGGCATGGCCGATCTCATCCGTCCTGGGGAGCTGCCCCGCTCGACAATCTCGACCAGCACGGGGTATACGAGGACTACGAGGGCGCTGTTTACGGAAATGATCCTAAGCGTCAACGGTACACTTCCGGCCCTGGAGCTGGCGCTGGCTCTGGCACGTACAACTACCCCTACAACGCTTACCACGGTCACCCACCACAATCGCAGTCCATCCCGCATCTTGCAGCACGCCGTCGCAATAGCAACCCATCGACGCCCACGTCTGGAAGCTACCGCTATCAATATCCCGTGTCTGCCTCGCATTCTGGCCACTCCCTCGCTGTTCAACGTGAGGGTTCAGGACCGGGACCGGGACAAGGCCCGATGCTCCCTCCCCCTCGTCCAGGGCATTCCATCCCAACAACGGTACCGCCCACATCAGCCGCCACAACGCCTGTTACCGCCACTGCGGCGTCCACACCGACGTTTTCTTATTCTGCGTCTGCTCACTCTCCGACATATGCCTACCGGACTCGCAGCGCCATGGTTCAGCAGCAGCATCACCACCAACAAAACCACCAACAACAGAACCAGCAACAAAACCACCCTCACAACCTCGACCAGGGCCAACACTCCTCCACCGCCACGCCAACACCAACACCCACCCGAACCAGCTTCACAGCCGAATTTGTCGACAAAGAGTCCCTCCGTCTTCCACCTCTTCAAACCCACTTACAAGGCCTGCCCATCTCCCCTCCTACTGATCCCAGCAGTGACGAGACCGGGACAAGGCCACCACAGCCGTCTTCGTCGTCGTTGTCTGTGGGCAGTACAAATCTGCCTCCTGGGTATCGACATGGACAGGAGAACACGGGGGTGAATGATGACAGGCGCGGCAGCATCAACAACAACAGCCAGGGAAACCAGGGGCAACAACAACAGCAGCAGCAACAAGTAGTCGAGCAAACACCCGCCAATCCCACGTCAACGTCAACATCAACCTCCATTTCCACATCTACATTCCCCTCTTCTTCCGGCTTAGGACCAGCACCAGTACCAGGACCCGGCCCCGGCCCGGGACCCCGCGGGATCAAGCGTGAACGCGACGCCGAGGAAGACTACCGCGAGCAACAGCTTCAGCACCAGATTCGTCAGCAGGCGCATCATCATCATCATCGAGAGCAACAGCAACATCATAATCTGCAACAACAACTACAACAGCAGCAGCAGCAGCAGCAACTACAACAGCAGCAACAACAACAACAACTGCGAGCTGCAGCTGTGAAAGCCACGGTCGCAGCAGCAGGGTTAGCAGTAGGGTCAGGAGCGTCAGGAGCGTCAGGAGCGTTAGGAGTGTCATCATCGACCGCAGTGTCATCAGCAGCATCAGGAGTATCAGGGTCAGGAGCAGCAGCAGAACCAGCAGGATCAGCGTCTGCAGTAGGGGCAGCAGCACGCGCAAGGGCGATGCACGGTCAGGAACATAGACAACAAACGCATCAGCATCATCTCCAGCCTCCTATCCAGATGCAGATGCAGGGACCTATCCAGCCACAGACACAGACACAGACACATACGCAGGGTCAGAAGCATACCCAGACGCAGCATCAGACGCAGGGCCAGCATACGCAGGGTCAAATGCAGACGCAGGGTCAACCCCTCCTCGGCGAACGACAACCCAGCCTCATCTCATCCGAAATAATGCGCATCAGCCTCGAAAGAAAACTCCGCGCCCTCAAGATGATCAGTCCCCCTCTTCTGACCATGACCACGACCGTGATGGCGGCTGCCACCAGTGGTCCGCAACCACACGGGACGGTGCCCACGGCGTCTAGCAGTAGCTGGAGCAGAGGCCCGGTGATTGCCGTCGAGGGTCCTGACGCGAGGCTGACGAGGGCTGTGGGGGAGGTTGTGGCGCGGGCGTTGAAGTGTGCGTCGCCTGTGGCGGAGAGTAGGGGTGGTTGGGAGGTTCGGTGTTGGGGGGGTGAAGGGGGAGGGTTGGAGGAGGAAGAGACTGGGGATGGATTTGTTGAGAGGGGGAATGGGAACATGAATAGGGATGGGAACACCAACGCACACGGCCATGGTCGTGGTGATACCGTCGTCGTCGAAAACCCCAAGCCCGAATCCCGGCGCGCTAGCCAGGCAACGACGACGACGACGGACACAACGAGCACCACCACCTCCACAGGTGCGTTAGCAGGTTACCTACAAACCATCACCAAATGGCACGCCAAATCAGCCGAGATCACCCATTTCATCACCGGCCGCACGCCGCGGCCACCACACTCACCACACTCACCACACTCACCACACTCACACTCGCACTCCCCGGTATCAGTATCATCCGCACCCTCCGCCAGCAGCAGCAACAGGAGTAGTAGTAGTAGTAGCCAACCCCGTCTATCGACCTCTTCCACCGCCACAGCCATCTCTACCACAAGCACCTTTTCCTCTACCCATCCACCACCACCAACATCCACAACGACCGACAGCGGCACGACCGCCAGTACCACAACCACCACAGACCCTGACGTGGAAAGCCGTGCTCCCCTTCCCCTTCCCATAGCCCTCCTCCCCACAGGTTTCTCCCTCACGCTCTCCGACCACTTCGCCTGCACCATCCCCATCCAAGATTCCTATGCCCCCGTCGATCACTGGCAGTGGATGGCTACACTGTGGCGGGGGATTGTCGGGCCGGATTTGGTGGTTTATGTCTCCCCATCCCCCAAACCACCGCTTTCTTCGGTGTCTTTGGGAGTTGGGAGGTTGGAGGGAGGTAATTCGACGGCTGGGGAGGACGGGGGTATCAGCGGCGCTGTTGGTGGGGGTGTTGGCGGTGTCGGCGGGGGTGGGAATGGATCGGTGGAATTTCTGAGTCGGGAGTGGATGGTTGTTAAGGTACCACCGGCTGTACCGGCTGTGGCGTCGAGGATGGGGACGGGATATAGTGATGGGGGGAAAAAGGCTGGCGGACAGAGGGACGGCGACGAGATGGTGATTGTGGACGAAAAGATTGAGCGGCGGCTGGCGTTTGAGGTTGTGGAATGGGTTAGGGCTGGGGGGTGGCCGAATTCTGGGCGTCGGGGGGTAGGCTGGGCTGCTCAGGTAAATGGTGGGATGGAAGTGGTTAGATTGATGGACTTAGACTGCTGTGGGCGACGCCGATGGGACATTGACGGCAGGACGATGGCGGTGGCTGACGAGATGGGCAAAGTCGTGTTTTCGCGTGGTGTTGAAGACGTCGCCGGGTATCTAACAAGCGGACCACATCGTCAACATGCCAACATGTACGAAGTAGCCAATCCTAGTTCCAGAACAAAGACACAGATGGCGCGGCCGAATGTTAGCCATTTCCGAGAACATTTCACCGTTGTGGCTACTTGAGGCTCCCGCTTTCCCTCTGTCCAGATGGCCGATTCGTCCAGGCCTTGATAACCCGTAGTTCTCGCCTCTCCTACCAGCATCTCAGAACATGGCAAGTATGGCCGCACAGCGTAACTGAAGAAGCGGAATCTCCAATGCCTGCTTACCCTCTCGGGCTTCAACTCCCAAGTCAGGCGGCTAATAAAACCCGTTTAATAGCACCCGGTTGTCCTAGACCCCAGGGCAACGCCCGGTAATGAGCCCCCTGTGTTGTCAAGCCTTTGTTTTCATTCTCGCTGTTGTTGTGGAAACCGATATCGATGGGGAAGGCACTGACTGCTAAGGTAGTCTCAGCAACTGCGACAGCGGAATCCGCTCTCAGACCTGGTAAACATAACACCCGATGAACAGAGCTCACTCGACCCTAGAAGACAAAACTAGGGAACCAGAACGGGGGATACACCTAGGACAGGCATTTAGGCAGGCATTTGGACACACCTGGGCCCAACAGAGCCAACCCGTGCCAGGTGGGCGTTTCTTGCCCTTTTCTTCTCAGATGTTGGCTCTTTTCCAATTCGAAAATTTCTTTCCTTCTCTCCCGTCCATGGCTTTCCAGCGTGTGATCAACACAGAAGAAAAGAGTTCCCCTGATAAGCTTTCGGAAGACTCTGGGATTGCGCTTCGATCATGTTAAAAGCTCGGACTCAAATATATGCAGCAAGCTGATAGCACCGAGGGAAGGAACGACCTGGGTTGCAGACATAAGGTACTCCACCTGGTGAAGACAAGTGACTCGACTCTGACTCGACGTTCCCTAGAGAACGGGAGGGTGTGTGGTGTGAAAAGAACATTCTGAAGTTGACAACGATGGAATATTTGGATAAGGAAGCGGTTGAGGACCCGAAGGAAGCCCCAATGTAGGCCGGGGCCTCCATATTCCTGGAGTCTCCCCTGGAAGATTTAGATCAAATTGAGATATGTTCTAGACCAGCCGACCCTGGAAGGCAAAAGATGCAGATAGGCCGGATGGATGAACCGTCACGAGATAGCAACGGTGACTTGAATTCGGAGGCTACAAGCGCCTGGCCTGCCCTCCCCAGGTCGGACCCTGCCCGGTGTTAGTTCCTCGTACGGACAGCCTTGAACTTGATACATCCATTAGCGTGGTCCAGCAGCGATGCTGTGGACATTTACCGTCCTCCACAGCCATGTGGTGAGAGCTACAGGGAGCCCGAAACTGGAGAGTGCAATCCTCCCGTCATCTCCGTGGGCCTGGGTCTCAAGATGCCGTAGGGTGCTGTGTTCTACCCCCCAACTCTCCCACTTCCATTCCATAAACTTCCGTGGCGAGGGAGGCACTTCTTAGAGCCGATGAATTCAGGAACTGGGAAACCAATTTCCTTATCTCCTCTTGGGTACTGCATAAAGACTAGAAACATCCATGACTCCAGGCGACGAGTCGGTGGTGCATACCATAGGAGGCCCATGCCTCATGCTCCGAGTATGAGTAGACGCCCCTCCCCCCAGCCTTTGTTCTTTCCTCTTTCTCTTTTCAATAGAGAAAGTTCACTTTCAAGCTCGCTTTCAAGTTCGCGCTAGCAAGCACATCTGTTCAAGCACACAGCAAGCAACCACGATCAAACCAATCCACCAATCACGTGACGTCAATCGACCCACCAACAAACACCACTCAAACCTTCTCGCAAGCTTTCGTTCATCGACAACATGTCTCATCAAGTCTAGGCACCTGTTCATGACACCATGTCGTCCTCGGAGCTCACTCTCGGTCGGACGATCCAGCTCGCCGATGATCGCCTAGGTATGTCGCTCTTTTCTTGTGTCTTCCGTAGTTTTGTGTCTGGTTTTGCTCGTCGCGTTTCGCGTCACGTTTTCGGCCCCTCGGCATATCTTCAGCGACCAGTGTGGCTGCCCCTCGCCGCCGTCGGCTTCACAATTCTCCCCGTCCCGCACGCGTTTGACGCGTATTTTTTGAATTTTATATATCTCCGACCGCTGTTGGCCACCGGCGACTTCTCTTTCACGGCGTCTTGGACGCGTTTCTCTTTCCCATTTTCATTTTAAGCACCCCCCTCAGTCCCTATCAGTCCCCCTCAGTCGTCACTGGCTTTCCCATTCTACCCGCCCCGATTGCGTTTTGCGTATCCCGCCTTCTTTGTTTACTTGGCCTTCTTTTTCGGCACCCTGACGGCGGCTTCCTCCCTTCGCACAGCACGGTCACTTCCCTTCCGTCTGCGTCGGAACCGTTTTGCTTTCGAAACCAGCTGCTGATATTCGGAACAGGCACCATCCGATTCATCGGCCGCACCCGATTCGCCCCTGGCCTCTGGGTCGGTGTCGAGCTTGAGGACGCTACCGGCAAGAACGATGGCAGCGTCAACGACGTTCGCTATTTCGACACCACCATGGGCCATGGTATGTTCGTCCGTCCCAATGCGCTGAAGCTGCTAGTTGGTCCGCCGGCGCCCTTCATGCCCGTGCCTCCGGCCGAGAAGAAGAAATCGACGGCCCGACCGACCAGCATCGGCTCCAACGCCTCGTCCAGGGCCGCCACGCCTGCCGATTCCGGCCTCGCCAAACGGATGAGCCTGAACGCCCGCAGTCCAACTCCCGGCCAACGCCAATCTCGTCCGGCAAGTGGCGTCCCGGTAAGTCTCGCCGTTCCCCCACCCACATGATGTCACCTTCCAATTGACGATTTTATTTCGACTCGACTCCCTAGTCGCCGACTAAGCAGCTCACCAACCCACCCTCGCGTGGCACCTCCTCCCAGTCCACCAGCCCTCCCAATGGCCGCCCCGGTTTTGGATTGAACGCGCCCCGCGCCTCTCTCCCCGGGTCTCGACCTTCGTCCATTGCGCCCCCCGCGGGCAGACAGACTCGCCAAGCACCCCTGTCTGCCCCCGGACTCAAACCCCCCACCACCGCTACCCCCAAAACCACGACCGGTCCCGCCCGCACCCTCGCCGGTCGCTTGGCGCCACCCACCAAGACGACCATCTCACGCCCTTCGGGGCTCAAGTTGCCGCCGGGCTCCCGGCCGACTGTCGCCAAACCCCGCCCCACTGCCAACCGCAAACCCTCCGGTGGCAGTCCTCCCTCCTCCGCCAAGTCGACCGACGAAGAATCCGACCAACCTGCCGCCTTCTCTGTCCCAGTGCAGTCGAGGGCCCTCGCCATCGAGAACCGATCCGATCCGGCCAACAACAAGACTTCCATCGACGACGCTGGCGAGCCTGCCCCGAACGCCAGTACCTCCGCAGCGCTCAAGGAGAACGAGGAACTCAAGGCCAAGCTGCGTGTGTTGGAGAAGAGGCGGAGCGATGATCGGGAGAGGCTCAACACGCTTGAGAGGGTTCAGGGCGAGCGTGACCGCTTCGAGCGGATCATTCAGACCCTGCAAGTCAAATACCAGCCCCAACAGCAGGAAATCACTGATCTCAAGCGGCAGTTGACCGAAGCGGAGACCCGTCTCCGAAACGTCGAAGACATCCAGCAAGAACACGACTCGGCCATGGAGCTCGCCACTCTCGACCGCGAGATGGCGGAGGAAATGGCCGAAGTCTACAAGACGGAGCTCGACGCGCTCAAGAAGAAGAATGAGGTGTTGGAGCGGGAGGTCGAGATCTACCGAGAGGAGGAGGACGACACCAGCTCCGAATTTCCCGCCGACATCCCGCCAAGCAAGGAACTGCTCCAGTTCCGCAGGGACAGAGAACGCTTCCACGAAGCCCTCATGCGCCTGAACGAGTTCTCAGAGAAGCAAGAGGAGGAGCTGGAGCATTCTCGCAAAGCTCTGAAGGCCGAGATTGCTGACAACCAGGCTCTCAGGGAGAAAAACGTGGCCCACGCGGCCGACCTCGCCCGGCACCAGGTCATCATCGACGATCTTAGGGAACAGCTTGATAACGCCCACGGTTCCGACGACATCATCGAAGCCTTGACGGAGCAACAAATCGCGCACCTTGAGGAGATAGAAGAACTCAAGGCCACGGTTTCCAGCTTGGAGGAGCTTAAGGACGTCTCAGATGAGCTGGAAATCAACCATGTCCACAATCAGAGAGAACTCCAGGCTGAGATTGACAAGCGTGATGCAGTCATCTCCGAGCAAGCCCGCCACGCGGCCCTCCAACAAAAGTCCATCGAGGACATGGAGTACACCCTCTCGAGATTCCGTGACCTCGTCGCCAGCCTGCAGACCGACCTCGACGACATGCGTGCGTCCCATGCGGTCACGGAGCACGAGTCCGAACAACTCAACACCCGCTCCCGAGCCATGCTCGATCTCAACCAGAAACTTCAACTCTCCGCCGCCAAGGCGCAGGTCAAGACCATCGACTTGGAGCTTCGGCGGATGGAGGCGGAGGAGGCTGCACAACATCTGGAGGTCGTCACTCAATTTCTTCCAGCTGCCTACGACAGAACGGAGTCCTCGGTCCACGCCCTTCTTCGCTTCAAGAGGCTTGCCTCCAAAGCGGCCATCATCAACAATTCCCTCAAGGAACGCATCAACCTCCCACCACTTCCCGGCCACGAGAACGACCTCTTCGAGTCCTGCGATGCCATCGACAAGCTCACGTGGGTCTCATCCATGTGCGGTCGGTTCGTCGAGTCGATCAGCCATTGCTCCACGTCGCAATTCGATCGGTATCGGGGCGCCCACCCCGAGCTCGAGCCGGTCGAACGCGCCCTCAACGGCTGGATCGAAAACCTTCGCCACGACGACTTCCAGCCCAAGCAGTGTTCCGAAGAACTCCAGCGGACCATCACCTTGATGACCCATCTCGGTGAAGTCCACATCTCCAACGACCTCCCCAGTTTTGCTGATGACATCTTCATGAAGACCCTGCTGATGCAGTCTTATCTTGAATCAGCTGCCACGACCATCACCGCCACCACGGCAATGGTCCAACACGTCGTCCAGGACGAAGACGAGCTCTCCCACCAGTTTGCGAAACGCACCCAAACCATCATCACGCAAACTAGGAGCGCCAAAGTCATCGCCGGTCGCGCCGTCCTCCACCTCGCCGACCTCAAGGCCGCCGGTCTATCGCTCTCCCCCGAAGCGCTCGGCGCCTTCGAGCGATGCGAAACGACGACGGCCGACCTCGCCAGCATGGCTCGCAACATCGGCTCCGACCTCCACAAGTTTCTCCACGACGAAGCGAGGACCGAACCTTACACCCTTTCCGACGTCCAAGCATGCGCCAAAACCACCATCGAGACCGGCTTCGGATCCGACGAGTCCGGTCTTTTCGCGACTTACATGGACAAGTTGCTCGCCGTCACTTCACAACTTTCAGACCTTGTGTCCCTCAGCAGCAAGGTCCACCTTGCTCAGGAGTGTGAACGTGGCGACGCGCCTTGGAAACTGCTAAGTCAAGAAATCAAATCCCTCCAAAAGATCCCCGTTGAAGTGGAGGCCGAGTGCAAACGCCTCAAGGATGACCTCGCTAATGCCCGCCGCACGGCAGCCATCCAAGAAGAAACCTTGAGCACCGCAAACCTCAAGATCGAAACGCTCGAGTCCCGCATGCGAGACGCAAAGGAGCAGATGGCCCGGATCGCCGATCTCGAAGCGTTGTGCGACGCCGCCTCGGAAATGCGCGATACGTTTGTCGAGAACCTCGACAAGCAAGATCGGGAGCTGAAGGCCCTCGAGGAGGACAGGGACAAATGGCGACAAATCGCGAGCAGCAGTCGGGCGATCGCGGGCGGATCCGAGGAAGCAGACCAAGCGAGACTCGACCGCCAACAATCCGATGCCCACCAAATCGACAAAATGGGCGAACAAATCAACAACCTCCAGGCCGGCATTCGCTGGCTCCAAGAGGACAACCTCCGTGCGAGAGCGACCGAACAACCCAATCACGACTGGCTCGCGGAGCCACTCACCAAGACCCCAACCGCCGTCGAACAACGCAAATCTCTCGCAGCCAACGAGGGCAGAGCTGTCCTTGGACAACTGCTCAATTTGGCCGGCAACGCCAAAGTTTTCGACATGTCGACTTTGCCGGCAGACAAGACCGGGTGGAAACCCGCCAAAAGCACGCCCCAGTACCACGCTGCCGACCAAGCCGAGACCTTTGGGGCATGGAAGGAATGGCGGGCTGCGGCCATTAGGAATGGAGGAGCTCTCGGGGCGGAGGGTTCGAGGGGGGGGAGATCGATGTATTCTGGGAGATTGGAGATTGTTCTGCCGGTGATCGACAAGGAGGATCAGGGGCAGGAAGGGGCGGGGATGGGAAAGGGGAAGGGGAAGGCGAGGGAGATTTGAAGCGGGAGGGTTCGGTTTTGTAGATAAGCGAAGATGTTTTTTCTTGTTTTCTTTTTCCCATGAAAGCGGAGGAAAGCGACTTGGTTTTTGGCTTTTGTTTTTCATGGAGGAAGAAAGTGAGCATGGTTGTTTTGTTTTGGCGGTTGAGCAAGGGCGGGGATTGTGGAGGCATGAAGCGAGAGAGATTTCGGGTTTTGTAAATAGGCGAGGATGGTTTTTTTGTTTTGGCGGTCGAGCGAGTGGACAAGAACACCAGCGACAACGCCAACAAAAACAATGCCAACGACACCAACAACAACATCCGCCAACAAACTCAACTCCAACAAATCATCGCCAACAACAACACGCCAACAACATCATCATCAACGCCAACAACAAGAACGACAATGGAAAGCGAGTGGGATCATCATGGGAAAGCGAGTGCGGGCATCAAGTTTTGGATTGGGATGGCGTTTTTGATCTGAGATACCCAGTCAATTCAAGGATCTTTTTAGCCAATTTTTTGTGCCAGATTTGCTCCATGCTGTGACTTGTTTGTGTGATTAATGTGATGTGCCAAAGCTTGGTCGACATGTTTGTGCCGTGGGCCTGAAGCCAGGTAAATACTTGATGAAGATGCTGAGTAGTAATGAGGGGGATGCAGCAGTCAGGAGTGTGTTGTAATTCGCGAGTACGTAGCACATGACACCAGCCAGAGAAATAAGACGCAAGGCCTGGGATGATCCCAGAATGACAATCGAAACAGAAATCTTCATTGACAGCACCGGTTCTTTATAAAAACGGCATTCCATGTTGTCCCTTGATTTATTTGCCTTTCCCTTTCTTCTCCTTCCTTCCACCGCCACCACTCCCACTCCCACTTCCACCCGGCCCTCCAAATCCACCCAAACCACCGCCACCTCCACCAGCAGCAGCCAACAAACTCGCCATATCCGGCATCCCCCCAGCACCACCAGCACCACCTGCCCCACCAGCCCCTTGCATCTCCTTCATCATATCCTTCAAAAAATTCTCACTCACCCCTCCCCCCGTCATCGCAGGACTATAATACGGCAACAACTCCCCCATCTTCCACCCCCTCGGAATCGCCGGCCGCGGCCACGGCTGGCCCGGTTCCAGCGCCTGCGGCGGCATCGGCGCACCCCGCACCTCCATCCGCAGGGACCGCGACGTGTCCGTCGTCGGGTTGTTGCGCAGGTGCTGCGCCACCAGCAGATACAGGTGGTGTTTGTTGTTGATGTGGACGCTGCCAGGTGCGGGTGTGCTCGGCTGCTGGCGTAGATCGACTTTGACCCGGCCGGGGTTGGCCCAGTCCTTGGGGTGGATTTTACCCGCTTCGAGGACGGTTTGGAGCCGCAACCCGGCGCAGGCTTGGACGATGTCGATTGCGAGGGGGTTGGGGACGGCGGCGGACCGGGGGATGCGCCGGCCTTCGGCGCGGGTGCGCGTGCTGTCGAAGTAGACGGGATATAGGCATTGGTAGGATTTGTAGGGTTGGTCGTCGGTTGTGGCTTGCATCGGGGGGTGGGAAGGGTTGGGGAAGCGCGGGGGGGTGGGTTGTGATTGTTGGGGCCGTGATGAAGTTGGTGGTTGGGGGGATTTGCTGGGGGCGTCGTCGCCTACGCGGCGGATGATGTCGGATTCGACAAAGTCGTCGATGTCGCCTTCGGATGGGTCTGACATGTCTAGGTCGCTGTCGGACACTTCTTCTATCTGGGGGTGTGACATTTTGGGCGGTGTTTGTTTGTTTCGTAGGCGGCCGCCGAGGTGGTGAGGTGTGTGATCTTGGGGAGGTGGAGGGAAGTTTGAGGATTGTTCGGTTGTTTGTGCTTTGCAGCTGTTTTTTTGTCCAAATTTAAGGAGGGACGTCAATAGTGGGGTTGTGAAGGGGCTCGAATAAGGTGTGGTCTGTGCGTTAGCTGTCAGGGGACAGATCGGATATCATTAAGTGTAGCCGCCCGCGGGTTATTACGCTGTGAGTCCGCCAAACTACACTTTAAGTCGTGTGTTACAACATCCTCAACTTGTGTTGCCCATGACCGTGATGCTAAACATACCGAGCTTCTTAGGTGCTTTGTTCATCCATTGAAACATGTATCATGTTTCCATGGTATCTCGATATGTTTTTAATTCCTCGTGAATCTTGTCTGAAGGAACAGAAACCATGTATTTGTTTTCTCCCTGGATGGTGGACTCAATTCATCTGTTCCAACGGCTTCGATCCCAAAGCCCAGGAATCGAGCTCTTGCCGTGTGTGAATATAAAAAGGTGCGAGTTAAAATTTTAACAAAGCCCAGTTCTTCCCCTCCGCACCACCGTAAATACGAGTATTTATTTTGAGACACTTCTTGCAGCCTTTGACTTCTCTTTACCTCCCACCACCTCCCTCGTATCTCATCTCTTGATTCCCGCTCCCAACAAGATGTATTGATTTCTTCAGATCGTGTATCATTTCATTGAGAGCCGGCCATCAGTAAGGTATGCCGATAGGATTACACCCGCGTGCGCTTGAGACCATTTCTCTAACCGGTCACTAGTCGCTAGCCCCTCGTTCACCTTCGTCTCCTTTGCGCTGGCGGACGTCCAGGTCTGGTGAATAACAGATCAAGTACACTCTCTTTCAAAGTCATCAACTACTTAACCTAGGATTCGGCTTATCAATCTGTCATTCTTTGATTTAGGTTCAACCCTTGGCCAGAAACTCCATGCACTGCCCGTGGAAAGCAGCGTGAACGGAAATACCCTGGTCCTAAGCAGACACAAAGCGATTCACATCTTGGCAATTTAGCAACAAATAGTGTTTATCATGGACAATCCATTGGACAATCCGTCTGTGTCTCCGACTGCGTCGACTGTGTCGGTCGGAAATACCATCACTGGATTGATCCAGCGGTATCATGCCTTGTCCGCCCAACGAGACTCCGAGGACAACTTAATCCAGGTATGGCCAGATAATTACTCAGTCAAAATCTGTCGGGTCTGCGCTAACGCCTCCGTGCCAGGACCTAATCGTGTTTTCTGAATCACTTGATGCACGATTGGAATCAGTCGAGTCACAGTCTAGTGCGGAAATTACCGAGTTGGCGAGTCGGCTCAGAGACACAGAGCTCGAGCTCCAAGACACTCACAAGTCTAAGGAAGACTTGGAACAGAAAGTTCAGCAACTGGAGGAAGTATATCTCCAGAACCCCAACTGTCCAGAAGTAATTTGACTCATGGGGATTCAGAGATGATTATGGATCACGACTGACTCCCTCTGCAGGACGAGAACTCCTATGTTATCGTACTTCTAGACGCGAACTTCATCCTTGTAAGCCAGCCTACCTGATTTCACGCCTTCATTTCGCTCACACCTAACTCGGCATAGTTCAAAAAACACCTCGTCAAGCAAGGCGTTGAAGGTGGCGAGAAGGCAGCAAATGACCTAAGGTCTGCCATTCTTGGGCAATGCGGTGCCTACTCCAGTGAAATACGCGTTATTGCGAAAGCATACGCCAACTTCGAGAAGCTCAGCAAGGAAATGTGCGACGATGGTAGCCTGAATAACGAGCAGGATCTTGGGGATTTCTTTGTGGGATTTACCCAGGCCATATCCACGTTCGACTTTGTCAATATTGGCACAGCAAAAGGGCAAGTCGGCCGCAAAATCAAAGGTAATCAAAGCATGGAACCCGATGAATGAGCAATGAAGTGCTAATATTCATATTACGGTCATAGAATTGACGACCTGGCATCTCCGCAATATCAACTGCAAACAGGTCATTCTCGGTATATCACACGATACCGGATATGCCTTGTTTCTCGACAACCTCTTTCAAGACAGCCAAGTCAGATTCCGTGTGATTGTCCTCGAGGGAATTACGACAGTCCCAGAAATCGTTAAGACGGGGGTCAACATTCTAAACTTGAACGACAGCCTGTTCCGTTCCGAGAAGTCACTCAACACGACGCCTCCAAAGGGCCCAAAGGCACCAAGGGCTCCGAGGGCGTTGATGGCGCCTAAGGCACCGAGCCCACCGACGGCCCCTACGTTTATGACGGCCGCTAAACCCACAGCTCCAGCCATGCCGACCCCGACACACCCCCCTATTGCGACGTACGCTGGAGCCGTGCAAAAGCCGACACCACCACCCTCGGCCGCTCTTGCACGCCCCTTGGCCCAACAAGAATCCCGGCCGACGACAAAGGTGTCGCCGTCAAACCCCACATGGTAAATCACCTCTCCTTCTCCTTAAAACCCTTCTATGCCCTTCTTCCATATTCTAATACACCAGCGCGCCAAACAGGACCCCCGGCCCACGAGGTCTCGACCCGCCCCTCAAAGTCGCCCAGTCCGCCCTCGGGTCAATCAGGATACGAGCCGAGCGCCGCGACAGCAGCGGCAACTTTCCCAAGAAGCTCTGCAACAACCACTACCTGCGCGGGCCCAGTGCCAAAGGAAACAAGTGCGAGTTCGAGCACAAGTATCGGCTCAGCTCGAGCCAAAAGGCGGCGCTGGCGTACTTGACTAGGTTGACGCCGTGCGCACAGGGACAGGAGTGTGATGTTAAGGACTGTATTTACGGTCATCATGTGCGTTTTTTCTCTCTCTTTTTCTTTTGCTTTCCCCGTTGTTCTGTCCCCTCGCTCCAGCACCTTTCTCCCACTTTTGCTTCTCACGCTCAATTATTCCTCCCTCTTTGTCCTGCAAACCCTCTCAATACTTTATACCGAATGTGGAGAATCGGCTAACAAAGCGGCCACTTGACGTGGTCGATGTATACAGTGCCCGAGTGTGCAAAACGGGGTGTGCATCACCTTGAATTGCAAGTTTGAGGAACATGCCCACCCGCCGAAAACAAAGTCTAAGGCCTAAGGAGGAGACCAGAGATTATGAGGGAAGATTTTTAGGGTCACCGAGCTCTGAGAAAAGAGCCCAAGGGTTGGGTTTGGTTGGCGGTTGTTGGGACCTTGCTAGTGAGTCTCGTCACGATGATGGTGTTCGTCACGACAGTTTTTGTCACAACATTTGCACTGGGATTTCGGGATTTCCTGCAAGTCGGTTTGATAGACGATGTATTGTAAGAATGCAACGAGTATACCGGGATGTAGATTGTGACCATCGTGCACGACCCAGATTGTAACAACGCAACACTAAGTCCAGTTTCCGGTGGATATTTCATCACAAGGTTCGTTGTGGACAGTTAATTACCCAGTTAAGTGCCTACCTCCGTCGCGATACGCAGTATCTCTCGGCAATACCTCATCTCGCCGGGTATATGTTGTGCAGCAAGCAGCCAAGCATCTCCGAAAAGGGACCCCACGAAAGTACACTGCGTTTAGCAAAATGTGATTTGCGCTGTTGGTTGGTGCTGCTCGGGCGGCGAGGCGTTTGCTTGGGAGAAAGAGGCCGTTCATTGGCCCGTAAAAGCACCATACGAAATAATTAACTCGAAACAGGCCAGTTATCAATTTATTAACACTGCCCAGACGCCAAAGACTCCCAGCAGCATGGCGCCAGCGACAATCCAGATCTTCTCCGACATACATCTCAAGACCCACGCCTCGTACGACTTCCACTTTAAGCAGACAGCCCCCAACCCCGCCCTCCTTGGCCCGCAGCTCCTCCATCCTGTCGGCAAAGTCACGGACTCTCCGTTTGGCAGTAATTAGGCTAGCTGCATAAGATAGGCTCGTGGTTTCCTAGGACGAAGAAGACGTTCTAGTATCGACAGAGCTGCTTCTGGAGGAAGACAAAGAAATCATCATGTGCTGCGTGCCCGATGTCGCTCGATCCACCATCGGACGCTTCGTTTTCCTCGACCAGACCCGGCACGATGTCAACGATACCCTCACCGTGCTGGACTGCGCGTTGTTTTCGCGCGTGACGCTGGAGTAAGCTGCCACGGTAGCTAGTCGCCTCATCGATTTCCAGCAGATGCGAAACTGGACGGTCGGAGACCACGTCGATGCCCACGTCTCCGACCTGCGATGGCTGAATGCGCAAGTGGCTGAGAGATCGAGGTCGCAGCCCCAGCGCTAGATTGCGCTACGGGCTCTCTGGGTACGGAGGATTGGGTTCCTTTGAAGGAACCGGGTCATCCAGCCCTTTCTAGCAGTAGTACAGCTGGATCCTTGGGCCTATAGAACCTAGCTCGTGAACTCCCTAATCTGCGTATGCGTTGGTGGAAGACCGAGGGCTACCTGGGTCAAAACCTACTGTATAAGGTGGGCTTCTTGCACCGGGCTGAGGATCTGGAGCGATTCGGCCTCAGCCGAACGGGTTTGTGTACCGTGAATACGGTAGTAGAGGGTAGTGGTCAGGACACCGGGCTTGCGACTGATCTTTCGCAAAGACTGGGCACCTCGGTTGTATATTGCGACCGCATCTTGTAGATCTTGTTCAGTATACCATATCTTGAATTGACAGAGCTGTATTCGAAAAATGAGCTTATTTGACGAAAAATTGACCGAGTGGGGAAAAGAGGGGCTGCCTGTGTTGCTTGCACTCTGCTTAGGCTGGTAGATCAATGAGTATTTCCATGTTTTCTCCTACGCGGATTGATTTGGACGACTAGGGTTGTTTCGGTCGACACATAAATGCAGCCGTGTCGTTTGGTGCCGTCCAGAGCCGGCTGCTCTAGACGAACTCGAAGGCATAAGCGTTGAACTTATCCTCGGGCCGAACCGAGAAGACAACCTGTGGCAGGTGCCATGTTAGCGGCGCTGTCCGGCTGCTCGCTTCTCCAAACCTGGAACCCATACCTCGTTATTGCTGTACTGATGGACAACGACGCCGAGGTTGACAGGGGTGCCGACCTCACCGTATTTCCCTTTGTAGTCAAACCTCCAGGTTTGGGTGGAGACCGAGCCTGATACCGGGAGACCGACAGCGTCCAAGCCGGTGACCTTGATGTCCCAGATGCCGTCTGCTCCTCTCGAGCTGGCCAAGATCTTGACCGAGTTGGCGGTACTGCCCCGCGTGGCGTACACGTCGAAGGCGCGATCGGCGGAACCGGCTGTGGCAACGCGGGTGCCGGTCATGTTGGTGCCGTAATACTTGTACACGTGCCATTCGCCCGCGGGATAGTAACCTTGACCGTGGGGGTTGTACGACGTGGTTCCAGCGCCCGGCTTGCCGAGGAGATTGCCCATGTAGTCGTGGAGCTCGTAGACGCTGGCCCAGTTGGCACGAAGCCCGCGGATGTTGTTACGCTCAAGGCGTGAGATGTGCCAGGCCGAGTGAGCGGGAGATTGTTCGTCCGGGGCGCCGTACTCGTTAATGTTCTGGGGCCGCGCCGGAAGCCCATACTTGTTCCGCCATGTGGCAATGTCCGCGGCACTAAGTTGGGGATCCAAAGGATAGGACAAACTGTGCCAGCTGTAGACGTCGGGGATGTTGCCGCTCCGGCTGATGGCGGCGCCAAACCCGTCCCACCATTTATGTCCGGGGGAAGGGGGGTTAGAAATAGACGGGCCCATGATGATAACACCGGGGAGTTCGTTCCGGAAGCGCGGCAAGGCCCTGTTCCACATCGCGGTCCACTGTTCGACGGTCCGAGTCCAGAACAGGCTGCCGTCCGGCTCATTCCAGATATCGATGTCCAGGCCCTCCAACATGTTGTTCGCCTTCAGGTCGGAAATGAGCTGGGTGAGGTACCTATCATAACTCGTCCAATCGCCGTTGTCGCCGGGATAGGGCGCATCTGTGCCCTGAGTGCTGTCCGCTCCCCAGAGATCGTGGACGAGCAGGATGAAACGAGCGCCAAACTTTCGCGTGGTGCGGTAGTTGGACAAGGCGGAGCCGAAGCGGTTCTATGGGACATGGTTTAGGTGACTGGAACAAAAGGAGCGAGGGAGAGGAACAACATACACGATACTCCTCGATTCCATAGATCCATCCACGGGAGGGAACCGGGAGCTGGGCACCGCCAGCCCGGCAGTACTGGAACTTGATATCCGTGAAAAAGTGATCAGGAATCTGGGTCGAAACCTGGTTGGAATTGTCCGGAATGCCGTAAATGAAACCAGAAGCGAGATACGCAGGAGTGCCTGAGGCCTGGCTCAGCGAAACGGTCGCAGTTCCGGCTCTGTCCTGGCGTTTGGCGACCTGCTCGCCCAGACTTCCACCCTGAACGAGGGACGGCAGGCTGAGCCCTGAGGCGACCAGAGCGAGGAGCGGTACGAGAGCCAGGCGAGGCATGACGGAGAGCGAGAATCAAGAGGGAACTGGACTGAGAGGAGGAGGAGGCGAGGGCGGCGAGTTGTCCGGGAAAGGTGGTCGGTGAGACGACGGCATCCGAACCTAAATACGTAACTCGCGGCTCATGGCGAGCCGAGCTTCTTGCTCCCATGCCTGGTGGTGGTTCATGCCTCCGCCTCCGACTCAATCTGCGTTGAGAGGAGAAAAAGTGACCAGAGAAGGCGATCAGCTCGCTCCGCGCGTGCTCCGCATCCCCCACATCGGACGGTTAACTCCACGTGGAGCGATGCGGGGGAGACATGCGGGGAAACCCGATGGGGGCGGGGATCTCACAGCTCTGTCGATCCGATGCGGTGGGGGGATTCTTCGAGAAAAGAGTGGGGTTAGGCGGGAGAGAAGAATATGAGCGCGGAGACAGACTCACTAACCACCTTAACATGAGAGATCGACGAGCGCACGGGTTCCGGCGGGAGCACCTGATGAACTGGCGATACAGATGGCGGAGATGCGAAGTTCTTCCCATTAATCAAACTTACTAATTAGCCGGCGAAATGCTGTGTTCAAAGATCCAAATGGTTCACCGAATTTCTGCAATTATCGCATTCCGCCCTGGAAATGCTATGTAGGCCGCAAACGAGACATCGCCCCAGTTGACGTCCCCCACCGAGCAATATAGGTAATTCAGGTCCCATCGGTTCAGGTTTGTTGTGCATTGTGGCAGCAACGAGAATGGAGTCAACCCAGGTGCCGGGCCCCTCGGTGGGTGCCCAGATGACAGAGCTCTCTGCACAATTCATCACGCTTGCTTCTAGAGTCCTGCCTGTCCCTCAGCGTACGCGTCCACCCTGTACTTGGCAAAATCGCGGGCCCGGATGCGGCGCGCAAACAGGATGTCGAGCTCCTCGAACGTCTTGTCGCTGGTCTCGGGAAGACGGAACCAAGTCCACGCGAAGAAAGCCAAGGCCCAACCACCCCAGAAGAAGCCCGTCTTGCCACGCCAGTTGCCGGCCGTCGGGTTCAGCATGTAAGGGTTAACGACGTTGCAGAGGACTTGAGCAATATAATAGGCAATGCGGCTCAGACAGACTGTTTTGTTCCGCAAGCGCGTCGAGGACACCTCGCCAATGATGGCGTAGCAGATGGGACCAACGGTGAGGTAGTAGACGAGCAGCCAGATCAACATCATGCTTGCTTGGGCGTAGTTGCCGCCGGCCGAGTCCGCAGCCCCGACGCTGATGAAACCAACGATGAAGAGGATCGCAGCAAGAGCGCCCAGGCCGACCAAGTAAATCATCCTGCGACCAAAGCGGCTCATGAGGAACCAGGAGATGATGGTGCCGACGGATGCCAGCCCGAGACCTCCGACGGCCATCTGGAACGAGATGGAGGTTGGCAGACCGGCCTGGACGAAAAAGTACGTCGGCGTGCCACCCATGGCGGAGCCACAGAAAGGTTGAGCAGCGAAAACCATGCAGGCGATCTCGGTGCGGTAGCGGTCCACGCCCTTAAAGCAGTCCCAGTACGAGGTGCCGTCATCGAGGCGCTGCTCGAGCTCGTTGGTGTGAACCATCATGGCCAGCATCGGAGCCGCCACGGTGGAACCGTCCTTGGCCGCGCTCAACCGGGAGATGTTCTTCTTGGCGAGGTCGTACTCGCCTTTGCGGACATGGTGCCAGGGAGACTCTGGAGCGAACCACAGGATGAAGAAGAGCGGAATCGGCCAAACCCACTGAATGGCGAACGGGATGCGGTAGGACCACTCTGTAGTATTCTCGGCGAAGCCAGACTGAACACCGGCCGACACCAGTTGGCCGAGTGCCCAGCAGAGGTTGACGTAAACGGTGAGGTAGCCTCGCAGCGCCATTGGACAGATTTCGGAGGCATAAGCCGGAGCCTGTGTTCAGAACCAAGACGGTTAGAGAGCTGTGGGACACACAAGGTAAGGTAGGCTCGCGTTTGTGAAGCCGTCAACGTACCATCGTAGCAAAAACACCCCACGGGATGCCGCAGAGAAACTCGCCGACGAGCAAAACGGGGAGGTTGGGCGCAAAGAATGGGATGAAGATGAAGGCGGCGATCAGACCGAGCGAACCGAGTAGGACCTTGCGGTAGCCGAATTTGTGCGTAAAATAGCCATTCGCAAAAGCTCCAACGATGGTGCCGACGCTGACAGCGTTGCTGAGACCGTTTTGCCACGAGGCTGAGATCTGGTGCGTGCCGGTAGCCGCATCGTAGTCGCCGTACCGGGCCGAGAAGGAGGGCTGGGCAAAGAAGGACGACATTAGGACGATGTCGTAGCCTTCCATGATGATTGATGTCGACAGGAGGGCCGACCAAAAGACTGCCTTGCGATACTTGCGGATGGCCGCCAGGAAGGAGAGATTGTGTTCCTCCTCGGCGGCTTGCTTGGCCAGGACCGTACCCTTCATGTTGACTTCGGTAACAACCTCGTCATGGACGGTATCAACCTTCTCGTCGTGGCCTGCCATGATAGCATATCAGGCGTCAGTATACGCAGGAGTAGTTTACTTGGGGTCCTCCTTGACAAGAATGTTCAGGCAGAGTCCGGGGGGGGGGAGGAGGGGCCCTTCAGGTCGTGAGTTGGACATATATAAAATGACCCTAAGCACAAGGCCGCTTGCTTCGAGATGCTGATTAGTCTCGAGCACGTTCCCCAAAGAGAGTCCTCGCTTCCTCCCCATCCCCTTCGCTTCGTGCCATGCGTCAATGTGGGGTCCAGCAGGCAGGCAGGAAGGACGAAATCGGCAATCCTCATCGAGAACTGCCTCTCTAATTGGTCGATCTGAGGCTCAAAAAGGTTCGAGACAGGGGACTTCCCAATCCCCATCCCAATCCCCATCCCCATGCGAGGCGTCTGTGGAGCATCTCCACCTGAAACTTTCGGGGCGACGTCCGAATGTCTGGCCCCCCACCGGAATGGGCACGGAGAACCCCTGGTTTTAACTGGCTCAGCCCGAACCGGCAACCCCACCGGGACCTTGGCCGCGTCAATGTGGAATGTGGGTGAGCACGGTCTCGACCATTACTGCGCGCTTGGACAAGGCAAACCCCTGGTAGATGACCGTAAGATGCCGGTACTGTACTTACAAACTTCTGGATACCTTACATGCTGATGCACCCGCCCGGGCCTCCGACCACAAGGACGCCAATGAGCAATCTTTCATGCTGGGACCCCGTCGGAGAGAAACTCACTCTCGGCGTTGGCCTCCCATTACCCGGACTAACGACGCAAGGACGTCTGCAAATGACTGCTGGATGCCCCATTGCCGCAATGCACCCGTGGCCTCGGGCGCACCACCTCCTGGAGAGTGAGCCTGTCCGACGACAGCCGCTGACCCTGAGTTCGGCGCCGCCGTTGAGAGCGCTCGGACGCCCTCCTGCACGATTTTAGTGGCCGCGCCGCCGTCCATGATGTTGCCAACCCTTGCCATGTACGCCGAGATCCGAGAACCCTTACGTATGTAGGTCTGCACCATCTCGTCGTCACACGGTCGGTCGAGATGGATAAAGAACGGGTCGGGGTCTTCGTCTATATCTGCTACTGCTGCTGCTGGCATGGCTGGCATGGCTTCCCCCATTGGTGGTTGAAGTATGCCGTTGCCCGCTCCCGAAGCACCCGTAGTGTCTGGAGAGCGTTGATCTTGTCGCTGGCCGTGCATCTGGGCGGATTGAATCGAGATGCTGTATGCCCACAGGACCAATGTGCTCATGTAGATGGCGAACGGCTCAAGGAAGCTGCCGCTGGAGTAGCGTCTAACGTGCCAGAAGACTGCCCCAGCGTGTACAACCGAGAGGCGAGCTTTGAAGGAGTCATGGATCGCCCATCGAAGCACCAGCGCACGTGCTTCGACGTACTTTGGGTTCGACATGCCGGCCGGGTCCCCAGCTAAAACTGCAAGCGTGTGAAGATGGGCCGTCGGTGCCAGCAGGATCAAACGGGAAAGATGAAGGTACAGAATAGTCGGGTGCTCCCAGCCCGCAGAACTCGCGGCCTTTGCATTGGCGCCCCAGTGGAGTATGTCCAGGCAGTCACAGGCGCTGTTCCGCCATCTCGACAGCACCGGAGTGGCCGGTGGCCATGTTTCAGCGTCTCTGTGGAGCTGGAGTGTTCTGTTCTGGGCTGTGGCCGTAGGAATCCAGCACGAGAGCTGGGTCTGTGCTTGCTTGATGGCCTCTCTGTTTCTCCTCAAGATGGCGTGGATCAGGAGAATAGCGGTGAACTCACCGAGGTTGTCCGGGAGCCTCTTTTCGATGTAAAGCATTTCGACCGCATCAAGAAGGGTAACTGTCAGGAGATTTGAGCCGTCAACATCCGTAGCTAGTGTAACACAGGGCTCAGGTAATCTGCGCATACCTGAGCTGTTGGCCGTAGATTGGATCTCGCCCACCATAGGAGCTTCCCAGACCTCTTCAGGACATGGTAGAGGGCCCTTTGCGTCCACGAGCTGCATCAACGGGGGCGCATTATACTCATATGCCATCATGAAGTCCAATAGCTACCACGCTCGTTTAGCAGACCCGTGAATGTAAACAGGGCGTTCTTGCCGTCGAATATCTTGGGTAGTGACTTACCCAAATCATCATCCCAGTCCGGAGTCGCGACTGCTTCCGCACCCAAGCCGGGCCTCTCGCGCCGTCGGCGAGACCCGTTGACGTTTCGTCAGCAGCGGACGAAAGCAAACGCATGCGAGTACACTCCGTAACGAGATAGTATCTCTCGATCAGAGCACGCTTGGCCAAGGCTCTCTTGCCGCTGTGAAGCTTCTTGATGACGTTGAGGATTAGCGCCTGGAGCGTGGGTAAGCCGAGATGGCTCATTTCTGGCTCGTCCAACATCACGTTCCATGCGCACCCCTCCGACTGCTCCTGAGTGCTGTGAACATGGGTTTTGAGTATCATGTCGAGAGTATCACTCAGCACGTCGTCAGAGGCGGACTCGGGAGTGTTTGGTTGTGCATACTTAGTCCCGATTGCTGCAACGGCAAGGAGCAGTATCCAATGTTTGGAAGACTCTATGCGAAAATCTGTCTTTCGAATGAAAGGGAAGATGGGGTGAAAGTTAGTGAAGTAGAGGCGAGCTAGCTCTGCGATGCGCTGATGAGATGGAAACCTGGCCGTGTCAATGCCGATGAGCGGCTGTGTGGCTTCACGGTGGATGTGTTGGATCATATTATTGTAGGCACTGTGCGTGACGAGACGGAATCCGGCCTCGATCGGTGATAAGCTCTCATTTTCTTGCACCATGAAGGGTCTTTGAGGGTTTGTGGCGAGATCTTTTGTCCCTTGGTGGTGCTGAAGGGAGGAGCGGGCAGGAAAAGGGGCTCTTGCTTCACCTCCGTCCACATATGACGTGGCCTCACCGGACAGCCTCGGGGCTGATCCATCTGTGCTGGGGTCGCAGGTCGAGAACCGACGGGGAAGGGTACCAGTACCACTGCTGGGTGGCACTTCGGCAGAATAAGTCTCATGTGCTTGGGGATGATGCTGCGTATGGTCATCCATGGAAATTAGGGGATCGCCGAACCCTGCCATGGTCGCTGGTGCCTCAAATAGGAAGGAAAAGGGCGGTTGGTTTGCATCAATTTGAGTTAGGTTCCCGGAAGTGAGCATCTCATTCCACTCCAATCCATGCGAGTAGTCGGGCGAGCTCCAATTCATGGCTAGCAGGTCCACAATCTGCTCATGAGCAGCATTTTGTTGACTGAAGCCACCATGGTATGATCGCTGTTCCAAGATGCTAGGATCCTCAAAAGTGGGCAGCTCTTTGGGCCAGGAGACGGTCTGTAGCATTCCCGGGTCGTCGTCGGCGCGGACACCAGCATCAAGGTTGGCTGCAGAACCGCTGTGCCGAGCATCTACAGCGGCCTCCAGATTAGAGGTATTGGCTGCCGTGGTGCCATCCGGAATCCTCTCCTGCAGCCGCGTTTGATTGTCACCGTCCTGCTCGATGTTTTGCGCGGGTTCCTGTGGGTGAGATGGCGGTGTCAAGGACCGATCCTGTGGGCCGCTACCAGCAGCGGGACGGGGGGTCCTCTTGCTGCTGCCCGGAGGATAGGCACACGCCAAATCCCGTTCTGAACATCTCCCGCAGGGCTCGGTCCTGGAACACCGGACACGGCTGGTCGCACACTGCACGCATGCCCTGAGACGGGTGGGGAGACCTGTCACTCTTTCGTCCTTGTCATGCGTTGCGGCATGGCGGTGCATGACGTCTCTGCCAACCAGGGGTTAGCCGCGCCTGTTTATGAAAGACGTTCGGCACCGGAGAAACTTGGCTTACTGGCGGGCGAAGTTCTTGCCGCACACCCGACAGCGAAAGGGCTTTTCCCGGGTGTGGCTCTTGCGATGGCGAGCGAGATGCTCTGGTCGAGAGAAAGTCGTGCGGCATATGGTGCATCGCGTCGAGGCGCTTGTTGGGCGAGCCGGCAATGGCACAATGCCGGTGTCGCACATGGCATGAGACTGTGGGGATATGGGTGACCAGAAGTGGGCTCCTTGGGGGACTGAATCGCGGGCGCCTTGGAGAAACGGGAACCGCTCATGACTGACGTTGGAAACCCGAATGGACGCGCATGTGAGAGAGCGTCGAGGGAAGCTGATCCCTTGGGAATCTTAGCTAGTTGCGCCGCAGCACGCGCTGGCGTTGATGGTAGAGACGTTGAAGATTTGGATTGAAGTCCGATGCACACAGCGCTCGGACAGGCGCTGTGGGGGAAAGGATGGGGTTGGTGGGGAAATGGGGAAAATGCTTCCCCATGGGGAACTTCAGTAGCGAGACATGGGGTGAGTCTTGTTTCCCAGGGCCCCCTGTCCGCTCTTCCGGAAAAACATGCTACATTTCCTGTAATGTAACCTCGCATGTTTTCATGACACAGGCAAACGTTTTGGCGAGCGACGTCGAGAGAAGACATCTGAGTTCGCTTATCGCGCACGACCCATTCCCCAGCGAGCTCTATTGCCGAAAGTCACCGAGAAGCCAGCTTCAAGGCCTGATCAGTAATTACTCTTCATGGGAATTCGACTTGCCCCAACGCACCAACGACGGGTTCACCAATAGTTCAGAAATTCAGAATCAATTCCTTTCTGTGCTCTTAGGTAAGCCCCTACTTGCTTTCTCGATCCACCCTGACAAATACCGGCATGTATTCGAGAGGACAGGCCACCTCCACAGTCTGTCCACCATCGAAGGCATCCGCTCCCTCAAGCGCCTTCCACCCCGCTCCGCCAGGCAGATACACCTTGAGTTTCGTGACACCTGGCTGCATCACCGGACAGCACAGGTATTTGGCTCCGTACATGAACTGTTCGCCTGTCTCCCAGGAACGCAGGTCCTCGGGAAACTCGTAGAACAACGGCCTCATCAGCGGCGTTCCCTTCTCGTGGGCCTCCTGCATGAGTTGCCGCGTATACGGCCGCATCTGCTCCCGGATCTCCATATATTTCTTGCAGATGTCGTATACCTGCGACCCGTACGACCACACCTCGTTGTCAGCCCCACTACAGCAGGTCGCACCACCTGTCGTCCCTTGCTGGGGTTGACGTGGTTCGCGGTCCCCATGTAGCCGGAAGACAGGACAGAAGGCACCCCACTGGAACCAACGCACGAAGAGCTCCCTGAACAGCTCGTCTTTGGGATCACCTCCATGGAACCCGCCAATGTCAGTCGTCCACCACGGAAGACCAGCGATGCCCATATGCAACCCGGCGGCTAACTGGTTCCTAAAGCTCGACCATGACGAGGCGATATCGCCGCTCCATACTAGCGCGCCGTACCTTTGGCTACCTGCCCAGGCGCATCGCACAAGGCTGACAACATCGTTGTGACCCTCGCTCTTGAGGCCATCGTAGAAAGCCCGAGAGTACTCGACCGGATAGATATTGCCAATACTCAGGTTGGTGCCTAGATGGTACCGGTAGTTGTCGAAATCGTATACTGCATATTCGGGTTCTGCTTCGTCGAGCCAGAATACCCTTATTCCCTTGGAGTAGTAGTTCTGCTTGGCCTTATTCCACACGTATTTACGGGCCTCTGGGTTTGTTGTGTCGAAATGGACCGTGTCCCCTTGAAAATCGAGGCCAGTACGTACGCCGCGGTCCACCCGGATCAATAGGCCATGCTCGAGCATCTCCTCGAAGTTCTCGGAGCGCTTGTCCACCGTTGGCCAAATCGAAACCATAAGCTCCACGTTCATATCCCTAAGCTCCTTGACCATGGCGTCGGGATCGGGCCAGTACGTCGGGTCGAACTTCCATTCGCCTTGCAAGGGCCAGTGGAAAAAGTCGATGACAATCAGGTCCAGGGGTAGATTCCGCCGCTTGTACTCCCGGGCGACAGCGAGAAGCTCCTCTTGCGTTTGGTAACGCAGCTTGCACTGCCAGAACCCCAGGCCAAATTCCGGCATCATGGGCACCTTTCCAGTGGCGTCGGCATACGCCTCGACAATCTCGGCGGGCGTATCGCCGGCCACGATCCAGTAGTCTAAGATGGTCGTGGAGTAAGCCTCAAAGCTCATAATGTTCTTCCCCAGGACTGCGCGGCCGATTGAGGGGTTGTTCCACAGGAGCCCGTAGCCCAGCGACGAGAGTAGAAACGGGACACTCGCTTGGGAGTTTCGATGCGCCATCTCCAAGTCGGCACCTTTGAGGTCGAAGAGGGATTGCTGGTACTGTCCCATGCCATGGAGCTTCTCGGCTGGGTCGACGCTCTCTAGGCGCAGAGTGAGGTGGTAGTCGCCGCCGGGAATTGGCTTGAACTCGCGCGCCTCAACCTCGATGGCGCTGCACTTGGGGTCCAGGACATCGCGCCGGTTTCGTGTGTATTCCTCGAGCAGCAGTTCTCCCTTGGAGTTCCACACGTTGAGTTTCCCGGCTTTCGTTATGGTTGCTTTAATATTTCCGTTGACCATGGAAGCCGAGTCGTCCGAGATCTTGATCTGGACCTCTGTTTTGGGTTGTGCCTGAAGTGCCCAGTCCTCCGACGGCATCGAGCGTACTTTCGTCGCCCGGATGCGCAGACTATTCTGGCCCCACGGCTCGATCCAGAGCTTCTCGGCGTCATAGGCGTAGATGAGCCTGTTGTCCTGCTGGAACAGCATTTTGTACGAAACTGAACGGGGATGGGATTGTCAGTAAGCAAAAAAAAAAATCTAAGAGAAACGAATGATCAAGTTGCTTACCGTTGGAGCGGAAAGTGGAGGAGGGGGCTCAGTGTCGGCTTGTTATTTCAGCATTTCTCGGACCTTAGAGGAAGAGACAGGGTAATCATCTGCTAGACCAAACGTGAGAATCTAGGAGAATGGTGAGGTTTTTATAGATCTTTACGCATTGGATATACCAAACAAGCCGAATGTGTCGTCTCCGAATCACACAAAGCCTCCTCACGCGTATCGTGCTGTCCATCGAATTCCCGGTCACAGAGACTGCCCACTCGCCCTGCTTCCGCCCGGTGGGGGTGGAGCATCTAGCTTGCCCGGGGGGCCCATCGGGAGCACCCGTCTTCTGCTCCCGGACTCCGCAGTAACGGCATGCCAAGGACCGAAGGCTCGGAAACACGCCTCTGGCGAATGCCCGCCTCAACAAACGCGGCAAGAATGACGCGACCTCTCAACTAATATTACCTTTCTTCCTCGTCTGCCTTGATTCCTGTGCAGGAAGTTGACTCATGTGTTCATCAGCGCGTAATTTTAGTTCTCGAGTCGACCAAACGCTTGGCAAAACCTGTAGCGCCAACACTACCACAACCGCTACAACAGCTCAACCACAGCCATTAGCTAACGCCGTCGCCAACCTCAGTAGATTCAACCCGTTATGGTGTTTGCAGCGTTGGGGGGTGGTGGTAATGATTCAATTACAGCCCCCCCTGAATGCGGAGATCTTGTTGCCCTGGCCTAGGAGTGGGTCCGTTACGTTAATACTCCTGGCATCGGGATGTCCCCAAACCCCCGGCATTGATTCCTTGTATCTGATCTGAGTGGAAGGCCCAAAATTGCTGTGGAAGTTGCTGTTCAAAACCCCGGACCTTGACACTGTCAAGATATCCGTAGATATACCCCAGGAATACTGCAGTGCACAATCGTAAATCCCGATCTCCTTCCTCCAAGCTTAGCCATTTCGCTATCAACGCGGTGAGAAGCTGGGGGAGAGTTGGAAGCCAATCTTCCGTGTCCTCGGGCGTCTTCGAACCAGATTGAAGCAGGAATACCGGCGCTATAAAGCATGCTGCACACCAAATAGCAAGGGGGTATTCCTGACTCTGGCTCACATGGAGAGAGCTCTTGTCCATTATCATTCCGATCGTCTTCGGCCACCACGTCCGACTTTCGACGCGAAAGACAATTCCCCGTAGCTCAAATTGCTCAGTCGGGACTGTCGGGCACCTAACCTTCCCCGCTATCGGCGTATGAACCAGTCGGAAAAGAGAGTATACACTCCGAAAAAGCCAATGGGACAAGAGGCTGAAGAAGTTGCGTAATGAGCGAGGCGCTTGTGGTGGTACGAGCCTTGATTGATGCTTGGGTGTGGGAAAGGCATTATTTAGAAAAAAACAAAGTACCCCGTTGCGCCAAGCCCGCCCCTAGTATGCAGTATGACAAGCCAACAAAACAGCCTACAGCCATCTGACTGCGAGGCTACCTATCAAGTTATCAAACTGCCTTTGAATCGCTGGGCTCAACCACATTTGATGAATCCCTGGGCTGGGCTACGTTTGAATCGTTGGGCTGAGCTTCATCTGTATCACCAAGCTGAGCTGCCTCTGAATCACTCCATTGATCCCTATCTGCTTCGCCAGTCGTAGAATCCACTGTTACACCCTGAACCCTCGACTTGCGAGTCTTTTATTAGCCACTTTAGGCCGCCCACTCCTGTGGCCATCAGCAACATGCCCATCCTTGATAGGCCCCCCGGGGGTATATCCCCTATCCTTAGCCCGGCGAAGGAGGGCCTTGAAGGACTCCCTTTTGATACCGGTTACCCTGAAAATCTCAGGTGTTTTCACTCCCAGACCGTGGAGTGTTAGAGCTTGTACCCGTGCAGCAATGGATGACTGCCTACGGATGTCGGACATTGTAGGGAGGTGGGTGGGTTGGGGGATTCTGATAGCTAATTTTCAGTGTTGGATAACTGACAGACCTACCTCAACACCACAGAAGAGGATCGCGAGTCTGGGGGTGCTGTGGATCTGACGCTCCCGGGAATGTGGTTACGGACGGGAGTTGATGACTTGATGTTCAAGGTTGGCTCGAGCTCTAAGATTTGCGGAGACGTTCCAGTATGAATAGGAGCGGGCAACCACCTCGCACATGGGTAGGGGTCTGGGCTTGGCGCAGCCGGGTATGTTTTTTCAGCTCAGCCTTCATAATTCATGATGGATGTAGGATTCATCATTCAATCCATACTTTTGTTGACAGTTTCTCGTTCAACTTCCGCCCTCTGGTTTGCGAGTCTCAATTGTTGTTGCCAGGGAAGCAGCCTGGGGGCCGTACAGTACCCATACAGTCTTGGTACTGGGCAATATGCGGCTGCCAGCTGGGAGATGAGACACCAGCTGGACAAGGGGGTTAACGCGAGACGATGGCCGGAGCTCACCCGAAACACATTCAAAAAACGCAAGAACGATCAAGATGCGGAGGCGAAGAGAGCGGACACCTGATTTCAATGTCTCTTGAATTCGGGAACCGATTGTCCCTACCGTTTTCTCGTTCCAATGAGCCGGCCCGAGAAAGAGAAAGTTGTCCGGATTTTGCGGTCTTTGATGGTTTGAGGCCCGACTCTCCTTCTCCTTCGGTCTTGAGCCTATCAGGAGCTCCTACACATGTACAGCGTCACATCGAAGTTCATCACGGCGCTTGCTCGACAATTCCACGGGTGTGCCGAATCTGCTGATGCAATCGTGCATTGCGTCGTCCCGACCCGAAGTTCGAACCCTGTCACCTGCAGTCGTCAGAGGACAGTTTCGAGTGTACCGAATAGAATTTATCACGAGCAATACCCGATACCCCCACGCTGTCTCCCTATGTCTCTTCCCTCGTCAACACAGCCACTGGACCCAGTGCGTAATTATGCGTTTCCTCGATGGCGAGTGGGAGCAACCGCAGACCCACCGTAGTTGACATCCACATTTCAAGGAACACACCCGATTTCTAATTTGAGATTCCAGGACCGTCTCCCGAACAGCCGTCGTGCGGTGATTCGACGCGGTGGCCTGCAGAATGCAGCTGCCCAGACTCGCTTGGGGGGGCGTTGGTTCTCGCAGACCCGCACAATTGGCTGTTTTGGGTTTTCAAGCTGCAGTGAGACGAGACTTGCCTAGTATTATTAACGTTAATAATTTCTTTTGGCCCCCAAGTTCAAGCCCTCAAAGGGGCTTGTCACAGCAGCAAGCAGCCAAGACCGAACGTGGCAGGGATTTAGGGGGCGTTGGGTTGCTTGCGCAACGCGATCGGGGCGAGGGAAAAAACATGGACCGTGGTCGAAGCAGGAATGTTTGATTGATTTCGTTGCACGCCAGGGCGCGTTTGATTTCTTTCCCTCTGCAGAGTTCGAGCGGGGGATTCGACGGTTGAATTCCCAACGACGCGCGGAAGTTCAGGAAGAAGCTGAACGCCGACCGACGAGTATCACTACACTATGAATCACTCCGGGACCGTCCAGTACGACATGGTGGGCGATGAGGTGCGCCCGGTGCAAGCGGACGGAGCCGAAGCACCACAAACACCATGGTCACTACAGTCGCAACAGACGAAATCCTTCCCACTCCATGGCGTCGAGACAGTCGACTCTGGAGATGATCGATCGGTGGAAACCGGATCCCGACTGACGAACTGGACGGGATGGTGGTGGGAGTTGTTGGCGATGGTGGCTAGTACCGCATGCTTGGTGGCGATTGTTGCGATCCTCATTACCATGGACGGCCGACGGTTAACAGACTGGCATTTTTATTTCGGAATCCCGGCCACCATCGCGTTTTTCGGCACCGCCAACAAGTCCCTCGGGGCTCTGGCCATCGGCGCCTGCATCAGCCAGTACAAGTGGCTACACTTCAAACGGAAGGCCCGGCGCCTGAACGACCTCGACTTGCTGGAGGAGGCGAGCCGCGGTTCATTAGGCTCGCTGATTCTTCTTGTCCGTCGGCCCCTGGGCCTTGCCAGCATCGGCGCCGTTGTTACCCTCTTGGCTATAGGACTCGAGGTTTTTATTCAGCAGATGGTCCTGCTCACCCCGATGCCGGTTCTCGTCAGCGACGCCAATGCTACCCTCGGGCTTAGCCACACTTACAACGGCGGTGCTAAACCCATAGGCGCTCTCAGCGGCATTGTCAACGTTCGATGTAAGTAATTCTCCGCATCGAGGCCCTGAGATTCACGAACCACTTCCCTTGTTGAGCCGTCTCGTTCCTGACCGTCCACTCTTCTTTAGCCTCCACTATCGACACAGGGATGCAGGGGGCCGTGTACCGAGGCCTATTCAACCTTGATTCGCCCCCATTATTCAACTGTTCCTCGTCCTGCCGATGGAACGGAACATACGTCTCACTGGGCTTCACCAGCACCTGTGCCGACGTGACGGAAGCCACTCTCCGACTCCACCCTGATGCCTCCGGAACTTGGGACAAGACGGGCATGACCAACATGTCCGACATGTATTTAACCACCCCAGGCGGCGTCAGGTTGGATGCCACGTACTCCTACACGTCGTACCAGACCGTGATCAGTATCGGGGCCATCTCGCTCCTGAAGGCTGACGCGGGGGCTGTCCCTCCTGGGGGTACTACCGGGATGGGATCGGGGATCGCGCGCATTGCCGTCCTCCGCGTTCCCGTCGATTCTAACAACTGGGGCTTCCTAGCTAGCGACATGAACATCACCGAATGTGACGTGTCCCTGGCCGCACACCGCTTCCACGGCCTCTCCTCGTCGGGAGCAAACTTAACGGCCAGCCGCCGGGAAGTCCTGACTCTCCCCAAAGGCGTCGTCACCGCCCAGGGGGGCCATGCCGATTACCTAACGTTCAACACGCCCGGACTCCCAAGCCTGCGGATAGCCGTCCCGGACCTGTCCGCCCTAGGGCTCTTGTTCACTTCCAGCCGATTCGCTGGCAACATCTTTGACGGCGAGGCGTCGACCAACGTCGCCGACGACTCGCAGGGCATGGGCGACGCATTCCTGCGCACCCCCAATCCGGCCGTTGCGATCCACGCCATGACTGACAGTATGACCGACCAACTACGCGCGGTCCACGAGCAGGTGGCGGCCGGCGAGAGCGAGCAGCAGATTGTGTTTGTGCAGGTCGAGTGGGGGTGGCTGGCGCTGCCGGTGGTGGTGCAGGTCATCGCGGTGGTGTTTTTGGTGCTGGTGCTGATACAGAGTGGCCGGGCGTCGAACCTGCCGCTGTGGAAGTCGTCAATTGTGGCGCTGCTTACGTATGATGTAAGATTTTCGGATATGGATGGCCAGGAACATGCTGCGGATTATGTGCAGAGTGAGAAGGTGCGGATTGGGAATCTTGGGACGGGGGTACGGAGTACGAGGGAATTGGACGCGTTGGCGGAGACGGTTAAGGCCAAGTTGGATTTACCGATGAGGAGGAATACGGGTGGGAGGGATGGAGGTGTTTGATGGGGTTTGTGGGAGTTGGTATGAGTCTTGGATGTTGTTAATGAGGTGAGTAAATGATGAGATGTAATGATTATTGGGAATGGGATTCAGTTAATTACATGAATCGGATGGCCTTCGTCACTTGAGGATCTTCTCATGTTACCGGCCATGTTACATCCTTAGAGGAGCTTCCTCAGCCATTTTGGAAGAGGATTATGCCCGAACTTTGTTGTGAAGTTCATTTTAAGTTGGCCGTTGAAGGATGAAACCCTGTTTAGAGACATGGTGGTGGCACAGAACAAGCATGATGAGATCATATGGAGGCTGGTAGGTCGGAGAGGGCTGAAGGATCGTCTGAACTTTTGAGCGAATCGTAGGATTGCAGCACCACCATCATCTGAGACTATGCCTCTCTCTCCAGGGTTCATGTATGACAAGACAACGGTGAATTCAATTGTTCATATCATAATATCATAATTCATTCCAGAGTATTTGACATGATCCGCATCGCTACATCAATCGGTGTTCAGTTCGTTACCACCCTCCAGGCTATCCATCCCCCTTTCAAAAAATCAGTAGATCATCAAGTACTTGACAACATTTCTTTCTTACGTCTTGAGATCATCGTACCGGTTAGTTAGGAACCTGGATTTTGTCCTTGACAGTGGCGACAAAGTCCTCGACGTCTTGCAAGAACTCCGCGGGTTCTTCATATGCTGCGAAATGTCCGCCCTGTATTTTGCCACAACTCGTTAACACCCACATCACCAAGCATAAATAAACGCCCAAGAAAAAAAATAGGGGAAAGGATAAGAGTACCTACCTTCTCATGCCTCCGAAAAAACACCAGTCCCTCCCCAAACCACTCCCCCAACCACGACTCCGCCACCCCCAACGCTTCATACGGAAACCACGAGTATCCCACCGGTTTGTCCCGCACAGCCAGCGGCGAAGGCAAGCGCTCGACACCTGCGTCGCGCAAGATGGCTTCCCACCCCACGCGGTAGGGCCAGAGTGCCCGGCCATAGGATTGCGTGTGCCAGTACCAGGCTACTTGTTGCAGGATTGCGGGGAGGGTGAAGGTTGTGGCTTCGGCGTAGAGGCCGCCGATCCTGGGCATCGTCAGTCTTCGCTTTCTTTTGGTGGTGTTGTTGGTAAGGAGGGAGGGGGGTAGCGAGTGTGGGCTTACCACGCGAGCAAGGCCACCGGGTTGGACATGAGCGCCAGGGAGATGGTGCCTGGTTTGGTCCCTTGTTCAAGCATGTACCCCGTGCCGGAGTAGATAAACTGCTTGTTGATGGCAATCGTGAGGGCCTCCTGCGGCAGCACAGGGAGATGAGCGACGCCGGCCTTTTCGCTGGGGGTGAGGAGGAAATTGTTGACTGCGTCGTTATCATTAGCATTGCTGAAAATAGAAAGGGGGGAGAAGAGGTGAGTAAATACTCACACAACACAGCCTTGCACTCATCATGTACCCCCCCCAAAGCCGCGACCAACCCGGACCCAACATCCCCTCCCTGCGCAACATACGCGTCAAACCCCAGCGTCTTCATCAACTCATTCAACGCGGCCGCTGCGCCGTACACGTCCAGTTCTCTCTCCGTGTCATGATCGTGGACGTCACCGAACCCCCCACCGTTAAGACCGGAAGAAGACGAGCCAGCAGCAGCAGAAGAAACAGGCCGTGTAGACAATCCAAAATCCGGAATCGACGGCGCCACAATATGATACGGCAGTGTCTCAGGCGTGTACTTAGCGGCGAGCAGTTCCAGAAGCGGAACAAAATCCAGCCACGAGCTAGGCCAGCCGTGACAGAACAGCACGGGCACGGCGGCCGGGTTGCGGGAGAAGAGCGCTGCGAAATGGAGGCGGAAGTTTTGCTTTTGTTGCTGCTCCTGCTGCTCTGAATCTGGAGATGTGTTGGAAGTGGTAGTCACATCGACCATAAACTGCGGAATGGCATTCCACCGTCTCTCATGCGCACGCCAGTCAAAGTCGTGCGTCCAGACGTGGGCGGCGTTGGCGAGCCACTCGCGGGTTGCGCCGAAGGACTTTTTCGCGTCGCCGGTTGTCGACGACTTTTCGGTGCTGGCTGTGTTGTAGTAGGACGGGGGCCCGATGACGGAGTGCTCGAGGAGGATGTTGAGCCGGGCTAGCTCGGCGTCTGGAACGTGCAGGGTGAAGGGGGTCGGAGTTGAGCGGGCCGGGCCGTCTGGGTCGGGTTTGTGGTTGCCGTTGCCGTTAGGGGTGGTGCTCCTGGTGGTGGCGGGGAGAATACCGAATGCTGGGTCGACTGTTGTGGTTGGTGTGCTGGTGGAAGGAACGGGACCCGGGCCGGGGACGGACAGGGCCGGGTTGGTGTGAGCAGCATGCTTGTCGGCCGTTGCGGTAGGCGAAGGCGAGGGAGAGCTGGGGGACGCCATTGTGAAAGGAAAGGGATGGAGGGATGTGTATGAATCGGAAGGGAGGAGGAGGAGGAGGCGGGAACTGGGAAGATGCTGGTATTATCCTGTAGTGGAACTGTGGAAAAGAGCCAGTCAAACGACAGCCGAGTTCCCGTTCTGGACAAATCGCTGTTGAAATGGTTGCAAGCTCGTAAAACAAAGAAGAAAAAAAGACGTCCAAGGCCAAAAACGCAGACTCAAGACCAATAGATATCAATACCAACAATTGAAGCAAGCAAAAAAGAGCGGGAAAAAGACCCCAATTGCCGTGATCCTTCTCGAGAAAACAGGATGAACAGGATGAACGTGACGAAATTCCTCAGTCAGCTTCGGAGTCAAGTCCGAGATCTTGTGATCTGTCAATCAGAAACACCAACAACAACCCACCGGCGGGCGGATTTGCCAGGGAATAAATACCCCCCCCCTCCTCTCATCCTAAACCCCCGAAAAACCAAGCCTCCACACGCTACTGCACCTCATCATTGTCCTCAAAACCACAAAGCAACTCAATGAAACCCCCCGCTGCCGCAACCCGCATCCCGCATCCTACAAGCGCTGGTGTGGTGTGGATGCCGCGCCAAGCCACAGCAGCAGCAAGTCCACAGTGAAACAAACAGCACCTCACCTCACCTTACCAAAACCCCCCGCCCCATCGGAGAAAAAAAAAAGGAAAAGTGAACATAAGTGAACATGGGGGAGGAACAATACTAACGTCACTGCAGGTCAGCCGAGCCGGCCCCCGCCCTCTTCCCATCCAGCACATTCCGGTTTCCATTCCTATTCAAACCCCGTTTCAGGCGGAGTCAGTCCCGAGTCCCGAGGACTTTTTCCTTCCGAAGGTCGTCGGTGTGAGAGGGGTCCATCCTCCACCGCTGCTGCATGAGCTCGGATGTTGGGAGTGGGGCGCAGGGGAGTGGGATCGGGGATAAGAGACCCTTCCCATGGACGCTTCCTTTGAGGTCCCTTTGGCTGACCTTACCGTTTTGGGATGCATCTTGTTTTTTGACCATGGCAAGCAAAGCTTTGGGGTAGTGTACTGTGTAGAAGAACCGAGACATGGGAGGCTGAGGAGGAGACAGACAGCTGAATGAATGTTGTCTTGTCGGATGATGATTGATTGATGATTGATGACGAAAGCTGCCGAGACACTGTAGTTGCTGCAGTGAATTTGTGATTGAATGGGCGGTCCATAGCACGAAGTACATAATATTGGACTTGGTTCGAGGTTTGTTCCGAAGCAAGCGCTGCGGGACGCGGAGTTGTCCACGGAATGCGGAAGCGCGGAAGTGCGGCGAAACAACCCAGGGTCCGTTCAATTGTTCTTCGTGGGGCCCTCAGATGGAAGCCCTTCAAGAATATCATCGAGATATCAGCTCTCTCACTGGTCCAGTTTACGAGCCTCATCGACGTCGGACAAGATACCGAGGTGGGGTTACACGCAGCTGCGCGATGTCAGATGTGCACCACATCGGCTGAGACCCCCAAAAGCCAGCTCATTTATCAACGGGGTGTGTTCTTCGCATTGTCATCTTGCATTGTATATCACCTCTTTCACCGTCTCTCAACTAACCCACATCGCATCCCATCCCGCTAGAAAAAGATCGCTTTTGCCCATATAACACCGCTCGCTAGGTCCCTTTATCCGATTTTACCCAACATAGATTCCAATTTCCAATAAACCTTGCCCCCTAGATCGGTGAGTACTGATTCAGCAAACTCCACACGCTATCATCTCCAAAATCACCCCCAAACTGACAATACGCGGGCACAGGCCCTTGACCGCCTTCCCCCGCCACAGGACAAGTCCCAATATTGACCCCTGTCCCGCCCCCCGACGTAAACTCTGTCGCCAGCTGCTGCCGTGGCGGTGGCTGTTGCCCATGGTTATACCCGGCTTGCTGCTGCTGCTGATACCCATTCCACGCCAGACCACCGTCTCCACTTGCACCTCCCGTTCCATTCCCATACCCAGGGCCATCCCCTCTCGGTGGTAGCGGCCCGGTCCGGCTAAGATTATGATAAATCAGATCGCTCGTAGCATAGATCGGTTGCAGGCTAGACCAGTCAAAATCTTGAGGTGGATTCCACTGATGGAATGATGAGCTGCTATTACTCCCATTGTTGTTGGTATCGTTGACAGATGGGTTGATGGTAAAGAGTGACGGGTCGAGATCGAGGTCGAGGTCAAGATCGAAGTTGTGCGCTACAGCGGATGTGGAATTTAACGTGGAATTGAGGCTTAGTGTCCGGTTGTAATCGGTCGTGGAGCTGTTCTTAAGGACATGGTTGGTATTGAGAGATGAAACAGTGGAAAGGGCGGTATTAGTATCGTGCGAGGCCGGGGTCCTTCCGTTCGAAGCTTGCTGCTGGGGCGAAAACTCATCCGCTGGCGTAGTAATGGCTGTGCTGAGACTTGTCCCTGAGCGCATCGATGGGGACGGGTTGTAGCTCGCTGGGGATGTCGTGCTAGGGGTGAGGCACATCGGCGAAGCGGCACTCACGCTATGCTTTCCGTTGCTGCCGTTGATACTGCCGTCGTGAGAAGGGTAATCGCCCCCGGCCGGCCGGTTGATCGACGACCCCGGAAGCAAAAGCTTCTGCGCAGCCGCCCTAGATAGGCCTAGGGCCTTGGTCATTCGCACACAGATGGCGTGCAAGACACCGAGGGCAGATTTGGCCAACGAGTTGCGCTCCGACATGGCCTCGAAACGCTCGACGGCCCAGTGGAAGTGCTGGATCGCCCGCTGCGTTAGGTCCGGGTGCTCCTTGGGGAAGAGAATGTAGATGGAGGCCATGAGGACGATTGCGTCGAATGTGCCGAAGAAGAGCGAGAATCTGCCGTCGTCAGTTAGTGGGCATTTTCCCTTTCACAAATTGGCCGGAAGCTGGAGACTCACGTTTTGTAGAACTGCGGCTTAAGCGCCAAAAAGTGCAGTCGTTGGGCGTTTAACATGCTCAAGCTCGCCTTGAGCGCCTCGGTCCGGCTCTTCGGTCGAGTGAAGATATATGGCCGGTGCAGCGCCATAAGCTCAAAGGTCAATATTTGCGGCATGATTACGCGGGACAGTGGCAACCAGGCGCACTCGGGCAACGCATCAAACCGCGTATCCGGGTTCTCGAGCCGGAAGTAGGCCGGCATGCGCGCATCCAAGTCCAGCAGCTCGTTGTGTAGCCGGTCGACTCGCGCAAAGTCCTTGGGGCAGGGTCCGTCCTTTTCCATCTCGATGATCTCCTTGAGTGGGCGTAGCACCATGTATTGCCACAGCGCGCGCGTGATGGGCGTGGGCGGATCATGGTCACCACGTGGAAGCACGGGGGTACGCGAACGGTCGAATTCTCGAGGAAGGGGAGTGTCGATGGGCAATGAAGGAGGCGCCATACTGAGGTCAGAGGTGGCCGGTCGCCCCAACACACACGCCATGTGGATGTCCCAGGTGACGAGGGTCATCCAAGTCCGGCGGCGCTGCTGGATAAGCCACTGGTTCTCAAGGATCGCTTCGGCGCTAGGACTAGATGGCCGTGGGTCTAGGTTGTCGCGGTGCATGCCGATTTCCTGCGCGTCGCGCATTGCCGAGCCGATGGCATGCCACTGTTCTGTTAGCCTCATGTAGGGGTATCTTTCGTCGATACTTGGGAGATTGTGGGTTTACTTACGGCCTCGGTCACAAGCCCGACGTACTTTAGCCAACTCGCTCTCATCCACCCTGCCAGCACCGTGTTCACTCCCATCCCCCTCTTGCCTAGCACGTTCAACACTTCCATACTGCAATCACTGTATTCTCTAGCCAGGTCCTCAAATGTCATGCCACCGGCATACTTCAACTCCCCCAACCACTCCCCGTCTGGTACAAGCCCATTAGCGGTAAGGACCCCATCCTTCACCTGCCCATCTATACTACGCCCTATATTCTCACAGGTCGCCGGAGAACGGACGTCTGTATCATCCACCACCAACAAGCCGACAGCGCACATTTGAAACACCACCGCTGGGAACGCCCGCATCTCAGCGCTTAACGCTGCCGGGCCTGCTCCAGTCGACAACAGACTGAAAGGGATGCGGTACCACGCCGCGAGCTGGGCATCAAAGACGTCACGGTCCATCATGCCGTAGTGCGGGTTGAACTCGGTAAAGTAGAGCGTGGCGAGCTTTTCGATGGCGCAGCGGGTGGGCAACTGGCGGATGAGGATTTTGTAGCGGTCGCGGGTCGCTGTGTCGATGGGCACAGCTGCTATGGTATTTGCTGGAGAAGAGTTGTTGGTGGGGGATGGGGCTGCGGTGTTGGTCGCCGTGCCGTCAAGATCCGACCTCGGGGTGTTGTTAGTATCGTCGTCATCGTCGTCGTCGGGCTGAATATTGGTGGTCTCGATGTGGTGGAGGAAGCCTAGGGTGTTGGCAGTGGCGTGGGAGTACCCGAACGTGGCGGCCGCCTTGGTAGGTAGGGAGATGGCACTCGTCGTAGTGTTGGCATCTTGGTAATCTTGTCCTTCAATCACATGGCGGCCATTGGATGATTGGGCCGCGGTGGCTCGTCGACCGTGTTGTTTGGCGGTTGGGGCGCCGGTTTCGTAACGACATGAGTTCTCCTTGTTGCGGGACACACAGTTGGTGCAGGGGAACTTGCGGTCGCACTGCTCTGCGTTAGAAGAGAGCTAGAGGAGAGTGAGAACAGAGAGAAGGAGAGAGAGATGGAGAGTGTGCTGGATGGGCCTATGAAGACGAAGGGCGGAGTGCAAGAGATGGACGAAGAGGAGGACAGAGCCAGGCGGAAGGAAGCAACACGGGATCAAAACACGAGACGACGCATAAGAACGGGCAAGCCAACCTTTTGCTTCCGTCGATGGCACTCGGTACACGAGATGACTATCCTCCTCCTCTTCCGCGGGGGCGGTCGGGCCGTCGCCTGTGCCCCTTCGGACGTGACGGTGGCGGCACCATTACTCTCAGTCCCATCGGCCCAATCCGTTCCCAATCCCGGCTTCATCTTAGGTTCCGGGCCCGACCCCGAAGCGTCGTGCGCCACTCCGTCCTCGGGACTTGATAATGATGTAGGGGACATGGATGGCCGATGATGACCGCTGTCGGAACAAACAAAAACAAGGGATTCGGAAATGTGAGACCCCGAGTACCACTGGCCCGGAGACTTTGCTCAGATGGGGGTGTACGCTGTACGTCACAAAGGCTCCGGTGGGGGTGGAGGGAGAAAGTTGGCTGAGAGGGGACTGACAAATCCTCACGAGAAGCCTGACAGGAAGAGAGAAGAAAAATGTAAGAGAGAGTAGATAAGATGAGACGCGTTCGTGCTGACAGACGACAAATTGCTCCTCGCCAAGTCAAGTTGCGGTGACGTTATGTTTTGTTCCTTCGCTTCCCACCGAGAAGTGAAAAATAATAAAGGTCGAGGATGTCAGGTCCAAGAACCCTTTCTCAGCTTCCATCCCGCCTATCTCAACAAGTGAGATGCAAGCGGCATGGAAACAAGCAAGGCTCCATTCTTTTGCTCACCCGCTTCCTCGCCCCAGTTCCCCCTTCCCCACGGGATGATGTCGGGCGGAAGATTGGTAATCATTCCTATCGCGCCTTCTCTCCTTCGCTGGGCTGGCCCGGGCCACTAGCAGGTCACTGCGCTGAGTGCATGGTTTTCAGCAAGTTAGCAAGGCCGACAGTCAGCACTCAGCAGCCTTCGGCGAGTTCCTTCTGGACCGCCAAGCTTTTTCAATTTGCTCCACCTGCCTGCCGGCCAGGCACAGAGTGCACGTGCCCGGCTTAGGCCCGTTAACTCCAGGTGCTAACTGCGGTTGTCTCTCCTCTCTTAAAGAATCCACAACCCCTCACTTCGGAGTCTTCTCCGTTATCACCGGGCTGTCGATGTTAAAATACCAAACGGCTGCGGCATGTGGTAACTGCCGTGGCTACATGTGTCCCTTGGCATGCGAGCATGGCGAGGTCGCGAAAAAAAAAGCTGGGGGGTGGGCGGCGCACGGTCATCTACCTGTGGACTTAAAATCGGACGATGCGGCGTTACGCTGGACTTCGGATGACTCTTTTTGTGTGCCGAGATGGACTGACACAAGGTCCGTTGCGATTTTGACAAGCTTTTCTTTCAGGTTAGAGTTATCTCCCCCCTATCACCTTCTCATTCCCCTTATTGTTGGTCTGGTTGAACTGTACGGAACAGACTTAATGTAAAATGTAGGTAGACGCAGAATAAAAAGACATTGATGCTTGATGCAACCGACGCTGTCTACGCAGGACGAATTAGACTAAGCATAAGCATAAACACAAAAAAGGAATATCGAAAAGTACACCTCCCATCCTTTACAAACGCCTATTCCAACCTTGCCAGATACGCCTTCCACGCCTTCCTCCTATACCGCTCCGCTTCCGACGGTGGATCGCCCGCCGTGATGATGCCGCGCCCAACGATCACAATATCCGTGCCCAGCGTGGTCACCAACTTGCTCGGGGTGTTGTATTGCTGCCCAAGCCCGTCGCCCCCGATCGGACCTCCGTCCTCCTCCCTGCCCTCCTCCTCTGGTGGTGGAAGCTTACAGCCGGGGGTCATAAGGACGAACGTGTCGTCAGGGGCAGAGTTCAGCGCCTCCTGCGCGACGTATCCCATGACGAAGCCCTTGTGCTCGCGTGCGGCCTCGACACAAGCCTGTGTGTAGTCCTTGGTCATGAGACAGCCCTTGGTCGACATTTGCGCGAGTAATAGCAGGCCACGGTCGGCGGGTGCCTCCTCGATGCCGGGGAAGACGGCGTCATCGCTACCGTTGTCGTGGTTCTTAGACAACCGCGGCGAGTCTGCGGGCTCGAATGACTGTGTCACCGTGGTGACCGAGACAATACTTCCTTTCCGGCCGTCAATGTCTCTGCTGCCTTGATGGGAGTGAGGATGAAGCCCCTTTTTATCCAACTGGGTATGCTCACCTTTCTCGTCTCGCCGTTGGCCGGTCTGCCCCTGTGCCGCCTCCTGCTCCTCGCCCTCGTCAAACTGGTCCGACAGCGGCGTGCCGACTGTGACAGACGTCTTGACTTCATAGTGGATCCTCGCCTTCCACTTGGCCGCCGCCTCTTCCAGAGCGCGCACCATATCCTTGCCGGCGTCAATATTAGCGTTGGTGATGTGCGCCCAGTCTATTATGCGTGCTGTCCCGGCCGTGTACTGCATCTGGACCGTCTTGCCGATGTCGACAAACTTGCGGTCCTCGAAGATCAAGAATCCGTGCTTCCGCGCGAGCGCCCCCAGCTTGGCCCCTGTCCCAGTCTGCGGGTTGTAGTCCCACCCCGAGATCAGGTCATAGTGTGTTTTGAGCACCACGATCGACGGGCCCACCTTGTCGGCCAGGGCCAGTAGCTCGCGGGCGGTCGTAACGTCGGCGCTGAGGCATAGGTTCGAGGCCTTGAGGTCCATCAGCCGAAAGAGGTACCGGGTGAGAGGGTGGTCGGCCGTCTTTGCCCGCTCGGCAAACGGCAGCGTAAGGGTCGGATGTCGAGTTGCCATCTTTCTTGTTGCGTCTCGTTAGCGTGGGTCCTTGTAATTTCTGTTTGTCTCCGGAATAAAGTAGCGATAATGTAGCAAGAGCTAAAATGGGCGGCCGGTTGAAATAGGAAGAGACGAAGAGCAATTGAGAGGGGGTGAAGTGCTGTGTCGGCCCTTTGCCGTCGTTTTTGTATGTAGCTCAAGCACTAACTCGATAGGGTGCAGCCACCGGTATTTACCGGTAGCTCGGACGGGTCCCAGGGGAATGGGTGCAAGCGTTGTCCAGACGGTCCAAGCAATCGTTTCTGCGCTGGTGACTTTGGCGACGCCACGGGGATAGGGGTCGCTGGACCGGGGTAGTGAAGCCCTGGGGTGCTCTGGTGCTGGGGTGCGTGATGCCGGCTCTCCTGTGTGCCAGGATATTTTTTTGGTTGTTTTTTATGATTTTCGTGGCGTGTTTCGCCCAGGGTGTGCGCTACCACCCACCTCGGCTGTCCCAATGCGTGCTTCACGGGGGCGATGCTAACACGCGGTCACTGGTAATGAAGCGGTGGACGAGGGAGTTGCTCGGGTGTTGTTGTTGGCTCTGCTCGTCGGGAAGGGGGATGAAATAACGGAGGAATGCGCCAACAAAAGACACGGGTGACTAAGGTAGTTATTACCTCTGCGAATTTGACTCGAGAGTCAAAGCAAGCGCAAGCGGGTCTGCACAGTTGGCGCGAAAGTTTGACAAGAACCCCGCAGGTGGAGGGGAGGTACTTTTCGGGAAAAGAAGGTCAAGCAAGTCGCAACGCAAGCTCACGTGAAGCTTCTGTTTGAAATGAAGAGCCTAAAAGAGAAGGAATAGAAGGGAAACTCCCAATTGGACGAAGGGGAACATATATCAAGACACGCCGGAAATGGGGAGAAGTGCAATTCTGCCAAGGGTCACGCGTCTTATATAGTTAGTGTAGGGAGAGTAACTCGAGCTGAACTTGAGGACCAAAGCCTCCAGGTTGTGAAAGAACTCGAAGGGTCGGCGGAGCTCCCAGGGAACTCCCAGGTTTCGTTGTCGCCTGTGATTTGATCAAAACGGGGTCGAGACCGCAGAAACTTATTCAAGCCAGCGCAACTTTCGCAGCCACACGGCCGGAGTCCACCGAGACTTCATCGGTGCGCACACGCAACACACCGCGGGCGACAACCGACAACGGATAACCTTCCAGCCAGTCGACGCGGCCTTGGCGTAAACCGAATCGCGGACAATGGGACGATGCAATGCGGATGCGTTGGGGCGAATGCCAAGGCGGGGACCAACAAGTCCCCTCTGGTGGTTGAGGTAGGGGGACAGGGGTCACAAGATGGGGGTCAAGGAGCAAAAAAAAAGAAAAAGGAAGAAAAAGGGGGGTTTTGTTGATGTCCCGTGCTGCTGTTGTGCTGCGACTCTGCGAGCATTGGATGTGTGTGGTTTGTTGCGGAATTTCCTCTGCAGGTCCGTCGGCGTGCCACTTCCATCTCCAGCTGTCCCACGGTCGGCAAACAACCGGCAGGCAAGACCCTTGACAGACACAAGGGTCGGCCTATTTTTGAGCCCTTGCTTGAGCCCTGGCCTTTCGTGGGGTCCCCTCAAGCAAGTGCGCACAGACCGATCGAGGCAAGTACCCCAGTTCCGCGCTCATCATTGAACATTTTATTTGCCGACCCGTCCGACTTTCGGACGCAACAATTTTTATACTCGCTCGTGCATAGGGCCGACTGCATCTTTCTGCAACGCTTGCATCTTGTACGATTGTGCAGCGACCCGGCGATCAGCAGAATCGGATGCTCGTCCCGAAGTGGCGCCATCTTGTCTCAGTCTCCGAGACAGATTGCAACCGTAGGATCCTTCGATAATTAACTTTGAGCTCCCTCGGCTACACCCACCGCACCTCCAAGCTTGTGGCGTCCTCGGGAAGAAGCTCTGTGCTTCCGTGGCGTTGGCCGGATTAAGGAATTCGGGGCGAGTAGTGCGCCTCGTCTTACTTACACAACGGCTCTCCGGCGATCGCCTATTTCCAAGTGCTCGATGTGGTGACGGTGGCTGATGCATTGTCTGCTGTTGTGCTGTACTGGCAGCCCGAGCAACAAATATCACGCCGATCCTGTTTCGACAGCATGATTCAGGACAGGGAGGCGACATGTCTTCCATCTTCGGCTTCAGCTCCTTTGGGATATCGCTCTTCGCGCTGGGGCCTCGTGGGGCGGCCTTCCGATCGATTTTGCTTAGACCATCGAATATTTCGGCGTCGGCTACACTACCCTTGATGCATGAGCAGCTGAGAACGATACATACCGTAAACAATCCACATCAGATCTAAATCAATGACGTCGTCCTGGGCAATGCGGTAGGTGCCGTGTCGAACGACGAAGCATACACATGGACGGAGGTCGCGGAGAAGTCATTGAAGGCAAAGCACGGACAGCACCTAAGTAAGCCTTGTGTAAACGTTTAAGAGTCAAGGGGCGAAAGACAACAGCTCGAACATTTGGGGCAAGACACGACTGCGGCAAAAAGAAATAAGGCTAGATTCGCGCCGCCACGATCGTCTCAAAACACCATCATCAATGACCACCACGCGTGGCGATAGCTTTCTTCAAGAGCTCGAACAATGTACTAGAAGACACGCTTCCATGCTTGTGGAAGTGAAATCGAAGCACGGACCGGTCTATGGGTGGCCAATTCCGCGCCGTTCCAGAACTCAAGGACGGTCCGAAGATCTTGAGCGACCCCGCGGCCCGCCAGTGTTTCGGCAGCATCAAGCTATCTGAGGACAAACGGGGCGGAATAAGAACGACCGCCCAACAGAAGCCAAAAATATTGAGTGTCGATCAGAGACAGTTAAAATACCAAAAAGAACTGGTAGGACGTCTGAAGAAATGATGATTGACTCAAATAACTCCTGTATGGCCGAGGACTTGTGTACACTACACTACATAACGTACATCGCAGCATCGCTGCGCCACGAACAGGGCATTAATTCGCAGATGGGCTGAAAGCGACGACCATCTCCGCCTGGTGGCTTGGTTCAGGAGATGACATGTTGGCTGCCACGAGCCGGCTGTTTGGAGTCTTTGGGCTAACTGTGAAAGACAAGGCTGGCCGGAATGTGCCTTGCTCTGTTTGATCAACCACAAAGAAGAAGCAACCGCGAAACGAAAAACTGCCGCCAAGGAATGGAAATCTTGCACCTCTGCAAGCTGAAGGGAGGGCGTACAAAACGTCACGGAATGTTACCGTACTTCAGAATTGCTGCTTGGGTCGCTTATCGATACCCCTACCGACCGTTATCTCCCCCTGGGCCTTGGGTGGAAATACCGAAATTTCGGGTCAGCACAGGCCGCCGTCATCGTCATATCGCGTTTACCCAACCAAAAACGGGCGGTAGGCTGGAAGGCTGAGTGACCGAGAAGGCATCCGTAATCTGCAATCAGCCCATCTTTGTCATGCTCGTCCCCCTCTTTCGATAAGGATCCCCTCGACAGCATCCATCACGACGAGCCCCTCTCGAACATTCGCGAACGGAGTTGAATTTTGGCCGCAGAAAGCAAGAGGCCTTCCCTGCGCCGATCCACACTTTCCGGTTCCATTTCCGCGCCATCCGGGTTCTTCGGGGCTTTTGCCGCCGCGACCGACCGAGCACCTAATCTTTCGACCGACTTCATCGATCCGAAGCCCGACGACTTTTTGAACCGTTGAAAGAGGAGACAAATCTCAGCCCATCGACCATACCTTCGGATGACCATCGAATAGAACGACGCACCATGGCTGGAGCGAAGAACCGACGTCAGGGTACGGCGGCCGCCGCGCCTGGGCTTCAGGGGCAACCCCACGAGCATGCGCCGACCGTCAACGGGAACGGGAGCGCACACGTCGTTGAGAAGGATGAGCGGAAAGAGGAGGAGGAGGAACCAAAGGAGAATATCTTTCTCTTTTGGCCAAACATCATCGGTACGAACAAAAAAGGGCTAAAACCTCCTTTGCCACTTTAGGAGGGGGTTCAGACCACACTAACAAGACTCTCCTTCGCCCAGGCTACTCCCGCATCGTCCTCGCGATCGCCTCGCTCTACTACATGCCACTACACCCACGCACATGCTCGCTCCTGTACAGCATTTCCTGCCTGCTAGACGCGCTAGACGGGTACGCGGCGCGCTACTTCGAGCAGTCGACGCGTTTCGGCGCCGTGCTCGACATGGTGACGGATCGATGCACGACCTCGTGCCTGCTGGTGTTCTTGTCGTCGGCCTTCCCGCGCTGGGCGATCCTGTTCCAGGGCCTGATCGCGCTGGACTTTTCTAGCCACTACATGCACATGTTTGCGACGCTCGCGATGGGCGGGAACAACACCAGCCATAAGAACGTGGATAAGTCGCGGAGCTGGATTCTGTCGCTTTACTACACCAACAAGGTACCTACCTACACCTCTCTTTACCCCATCCCTATTCTCCGCCCCGACTTTCGGAACCCCCAGCAAACTGACCCTTATTCTCCCTCCGCAGACCGTCCTCTTCATCGCCTGCGCCCTCAACGAAGCCTTTTTCATCGCCCTCTACCTCCTCTCCTTCTCCTCCCCCCTCCTCTCCCCCTCCCTCCTCGAGACCGTCCCTGACCACGCAGCCGAAGCCATCCACCGCGGTGCCCAGGTCAACTCCTCGCTACTACGCCACCTCTTCTCCAACCCGCACAGCGCCGGTGCCCTCGAGCTCGCCCGCGCCAACAAGATGGATAGCTTCTGGCCTTGGGTCTTTGCGGGCGTTAGTTTCCCTGTTATGGCACTTAAGCAGATTATCAATGTGGTGCAGTTGGTGAAGGCGAGTCGGTGGTTGGCGGAGGGGGATGTGGCAATGCGGAAGGCGCAGGGGTTGCCGAGGAAGAGGAAGACTGCTTGAGCGGCTTGCTTCTTTTATGGGCCAGAGGGGAAGACGATATGGTGTGTAAGGATATTGGTGAACAGCTCCATGCTAGGCCTCAACCGGGGCCTAAGCACTGTACTGTTCAAGGAAGGGGAGATGGGCGGTGTATTTTGGCTTTGGCAGAGATAACGGGGCTATAACGGTCTGCTTTGCAAGAGACCTAGCGACCTGTCTGTCTGGGGACGAGGAGTGACTTCACTGTTTTGATTGCATCTAACCCACAGCGGTTTTTGTCTCTGTCTCTGTCTCTCTCTTTCGGCGTTTATAGGATCAGGGGGTTAGGACGGTACTTGGGGGGTCGGTAGCACGGGGACAGCATCAGGGACGGGGAGCATCCTTTGAGAGAGACACCACCTAATTTTTTTTGACCGGGCGGGCGGGCTGGCTGTGACCAGTGTTGTTGTTTTTTGTCTTCCCTTTGTGAGGTCGGGGGTGGTCCCCTTGTGGGATCAGTCGTTCTTGTTTTGTTCGGCTCTTTTCTTCACATCTTGTTGTTTTTCCCCCTTTACCACGATTATCTAATCCTGTCATTTTTGGAAGTCTTTTCTCGCTTCGTATCCCTGTTCTTCTCTCTCTCTCTCTCTCTCTATCTGTTGTGTTAGTTATTACATAGAATTGGGTTTAGGTTAGAATGTGAGGAGCGGTGTCACGACGGTCCCTGATATAGGAGAGCACTTCCGTGTTCCGTGCCTGAGTTTAGTGAGTGTGTTATACTGGTTCACTTTTGCGCTGTCTTCTAGTCATCCTTCCGGCTCCCCCCTAATCTCCTCCCCAACTCACCTTTGCCTTTTACCCCCTTTTCCATCTCCCCCTTCGTCCGTCCTCCACCACCCCCCAAGAGCGTGTCTATCTACCCATCGGTTAGTGCTTTTTCGCCTCTCGATGCCTCTTCACGTTATCACCCCGATCCGACTTGTACGTGCACCCAAGCGCCGGACACCGTATCCAGACAATTTTCCCGTCGCGGTGTTTCGCCCGTCTATGACGGCGGAGGTCGTGTTTGGTGGATACGCGGTGGCCGCATGTATGGCAGGTGACGACGTTGCTGGAGCAGCGGTTACGCCGGTGGAATCTGGGAGAGGGGGAGGAGGGGGAGTGGTGTAAGTATTGTGAAAAGGTGGAGGGGGAGGGATTTTCGGTGGGGGGTAGATGGGCGGGAGAGGAAGTTACTTACTTGAGGTCTTTGTAGGTGTCATAAACGTCGTCTTGGGCGCATTTGCCGCATTTACGTGGGATGAAAGTCGTACCGGGGTTGCTTTCCGTAGTCCTCTTGGTGCTGGCCTCGGTGACGGTGCTGGGGGTACTGTTTGGGCTGCTGTTACCGCTGCCCTCACAGTTGGTGTCTTCGCCGTCAAAGGCGCCGTAATCGAGGTTGTCGGGGAGGCCAAAATTGGGGTCCACAGAAAAGGAGGGTGTGTTTAAATCCGCATAATCGAGAGTGACTGGAGGATAACTGGCAGTGTGCTGCTCTAGGCCCGTATTACCAGGGCCAAAACCAACTGCGTTGAGATCGAGAGGGTTGAATGGGAAAGGCGGTGGGAAAGCACAAGGATAACCTGCTGCAGGAAGCGGGATTTCGGCTGTCGATGTAAAGGCACTTTGGGCTTGCTAAGTAGCCCCGTCGTGGGTGAAACCACCCGCTTGTGCCGTTGCGTCGATCTGGCTTCCCGAAAACCCAGCGGTTTGGTCGATGTAAGGGTCTGAAAGGCCGAACACTGGGGTCATGGGAGACTCTCCGGGGTAAATGGTGGAGGTTTGGCCGTCATTTCCGGGGCCTAAGAACGGTAGATTGTCTAGGCTGTAAGTGTCGCCGGGTGCGACGAACTGGGAGTAGGGTGGTGTCACCAAGGGGTATGGTGGGAAAGGGGGGTTTTGTAAAGCCGGGGTATCAAGGTCACAGGTCAAATCGTCAAAGGGGAGATCAGGTTGTGTCCGGGTTTCTAACGAGGAGCCCCCATCCAGAAACGCATCGTTCGACGGGTCGGTTTCATCCTCGGTAAGAGACACCATAGACTATCCTATGATAAGCGAGAGGAAAATTATAGGGGTTAATGTCCCAGGGGTCAACGACAGAGCAACCGACCAGAAATAGATCGAGAGATGGATTGGTGTCGTCCATTCCCGTGGTGTGCCCGGATCACCGGGGCTCGGGCACGTTGACGAATCGTTTTGCGGTAAGACAAGGTCACAAGCGGAAAGAGTATACTGAGCTTAGCAGACTAGATATGCAGAGAGGCCCGCCACGGGGCTGATGCCAGAACTTAAATACCCGTCACTCACCCTTATCGTCGTGTGTTTGTAATCATCCTCCTTCCTTCGAGTACCTAGAGCCTTGTTAACTCTGTAGACCGGTTCGGAAAGTCGACCTGTAGCGTGACACCCGATTAAACCAGAAATGAGGCGAGGTGCTATCCAATAAGAACGGCATATTTCTTGGTCTCCCCTCCTCATCCAAACGCAGAGGCAGACAGACGCACTGCGGCCATCTGAGGTATGTCGCTTATTGGGGCGATTTTGGACCGGCAGGCTGGCGGCATCAACTATGCACTGAGGCCATAGGGACTTCTGTCGCTATTGGGTGTGATGGTTGTTGAGCAGCTTGACGTGATGATTATGGAGGGTTACTCAGGTTGGTTTGCGGTCAAGCTTTGGCTTTTGTGCGCGCCTCGCAACCCGCGAGATCATGTCAAAAAGTATCTACCAAGTTACAAACACTCTTTGGGACGTATCGCCGGGAGGGGGGCTCGGATAACCTCCTCGGGGAGATGGAACCACGGGAAGCAAAAGAGCGTTTGGACTGACGAGTGAAGATAAAGTGTTTTCAGTTAGTATTTACCTATAGCTCACTCGTTTGAAGGGCCCGGGCATGTGCGGGGGGCACGTGCGGGGGGCATTCTCTTAACACCAGCGTTAGGTCACCTCTGCAACCCGTAGGTTGTCCTGTTGATCATTAGGAATCGGACGAGGCAAATCGATATTGCAGATACCACAAAAATAAGCGTTGTACTGGCCCGTTTGGCGAATCATGGACAATACCCATTTCCTGCAACCACATGGGCCAGGAATGGGGTTGGAAAACGCCAAGAAGAATGCAACATTTTTTGGTTATCGATTCAGAAGCCATTGCTCATGAAAGGATTACTTGACTTAGCCTCTTCCCTGCTATTCTAGGTATGTACAGGCTACAGACTATGTGCACGAGGCCCAATCCGCCTCCTATTCCATCAATCCGATAATAACAGGTGGATCGAGTTGTGTACCTATGTCATTCCTAGAGCCCCACATCCACCCCACCATGAAACCAACGCAGCCCCTCCCAAGGTCAACGGATCGTCAACCTCGTCTCGAGACCCAAGCCTCGTGTTCCTAAGTCTTGGGTCTCGAGCATCTCCTCCATTGTGGCTGTCTGGTGCGGCAGAGGCCCATCCCCTGAGATTTCATCCGACTTGTGACCAGCCACAAAATGTGGTCTGGTGCTTTTCCTAGGGGATTGTCTAATTGCTTGGCAGGAGAGGAAATCAGACCGGCGGCCCGTAGAAGAAATTAGAATGCAATAGGTAAGCGACCTTATTTTGAAGCATGCTCTAGGTAGCATACGTCGCTGCGTCGCCGCTTTCTTTTTTCTTTGGGAAGGGGGAAAGGGAGGACCTGCGCAATAAAGTCAGAAGCCCCACAAAACATTGCCAGTTCCTTCCCAAAACGGCAATAACACCTCCAGCAAAAAGAGCAGAATGTGTTATAAGGAAGCGGCTCAGCTAATCCAACGTACTCCACCAACAACACACTCCAACCTAGGTAGGTCACAGCGTTTACTACCTATGTAATCCACCTACCCAACGTCAAAATTGGAACGGCCCGGCCGCTCAAGACCCCGACCCGCGGCCCCCTACGTCTGATGTTGGGGACACCGACCGGATGGCCAGGGTGATTCTTAACTAGCGAGACCTAGCTACAGTACAGAAGCGGCACAGGAAGCAGGATAAGTAGGGCCGGGGGAAAAGAAGGAGAAGGAGGAGAAAAATAAGCGGAATGGAATGGCCGGGCTAGGACGGACGGACTGGCTTCGCGTCCTTCGGCCCTACCTCCATGGCCTGCCTTCCACGACCTTAGCTGTAGCAGGACTGCAAGACTGCTATGAAACAGACTATGCGGCCCTTTGTGGGGGACTGGAACGCGCGCGTGCGCATGATGTAGCGTATCTGTTTTGAGTGTGTTTTTTTGGGAGAGGTTGTTGTTTTTATTCCGTTTATTTTTTCTGCTAGTTTTAGGCGGGCATGTATGCAGGAGTGTTCAAAAGCCTCTCTTCTTTCAGACCATCGTCAGCTGTTCTTCGATATCTAAATGTCCACTAGCGGCTATCCCCACTAACACCTCCTACAGGACCATCCGTCCTTTCAGTCCCCCCGTTTAATCCTGCATTCCACCGGCCATCCGTCAAGGCTGGCCTTAGCCCGGCCGCAACACCATAGGCTCGATGGTCCAGACGGAGGCTAGTGTCTCCACGGGCTAGATGCACCGCTTGAAGGACCGCTGCTTTGTTGTGCTGCCGTGGTTAAATACCGTCCCGTCTCTTCCGGTCTAGGGGCTCTCGAACGATCCATAATCATCAGCTCAAATTTTCCAATCTCACATCATCAACCTATCAAGCATACTTCACAGATCTTGGAGTTACACTCTCAGCAGACTTACCACCGTCACCATGCAGCGCAACGTCCAAAACAATAGAAAACAGAACTCCGGAGGGGGCACTGGTAGCAACGGTACTAGTAACAACGGCGCCCCGACACCCACCAAGACCGCGCGCCGCAACGCATCGGCTGCTAATTCTAATGCTACTGTATCGAAGCCTGTTGCTCCCCAGCAACCGCAGCAGCAGCAGCGTTCCACAGCCGCCTCAACTTCAACCCGGCAGGTGCAAGCCAGCAATGGCCAGCCGAGCAGCACTCACAACACCAGCACCAGCACCCGCACCAGCGCTACTGCTACTGCCAGCACGGCAACTGCCGTAGGCCAGCAACAACAGATTCCTATCCGTTCAGGTCCCGGAAAAAACACTGCTGCTGCTGCTGCTCCTGTTGCTGCTACTGGCCCAGCCAAGAAGACCGCCGCCGCTGCGACCACAGCCGCTCCGAAGTACCCTGACCTCAAAAACGAGCGATACATCGCCGAGCTAGCCGTGCAACGCGTCGTGCTTGCAACCAAGACCGTTCTCAACTCGATTCTCCCTCTTAGTCCTGACGCTCCCAGCTTTGGCGCCGCCCTCGGTCAAGTGAAGATGGCAGGCGCCAAAGCAGCCGGCGCCGCAAGCGGCGCCACAGCCGGCGCCATAGCCGTAGCCACAGCCGTGGCCAAAGCCGACGACTCGCCCGTGACAATCGCCGATTTCGCCGGGCAAGCACTCCTCATCGCCGCGCTGAACAAGGCGTTCCCCCGGGACGGCTTCCTCGGCGAGGAGACGGCCAAGGAGCTGCGTGCCAACCCGGCGATGGCGGAGAAGGTGTGGCAGCTCGTGAAGGCCACTAAGCTCGCGGATGCGGAACGCGAGACGCTGCTCGGCCGGCCCAAGTCCAAGGAGGAGATGCTGGCGCTGATTGACCTTGGCGGGAGCGTGGAGACGGCCGTGCCGGGGAAGCGGTACTGGGTGATGGACCCCTTGGACGGGACGTCGGCGTTTTTGCAGGGCGGGCAGTACGCCGTGGCTCTAGGGCTGGTGCAGAACGGGCGGGAGATATTGGGCGTCGTGGCGTGTCCGAACCTGCCGTACGAGGTAGCGTTTGCGTCGGCCGCTGTGATCGGGGGCCCGCCCTTGCCGGGCGGACAGGCCTGGATAGACGCACAGAGGTGGGTAGTGGGCGAAATACATGAGGCGATGGTTGGCGATGAAGGGCTGGGCATCATGATGGCGGCGGTGCGGGGCCACGGCGTGACGATTCGGAAGGTCGGGAAGGGCAAGTTGGGCAAGTCCGCACAGGTCGACCGCAGCGGGCTCCGGCAGCCGCCCATCACAGAGCCGTATCCCGGCCCGGCCAAGTTTAAGAAGCTAGTCTTTGTCGATTCGGAGAACAGCCCCAAGACGCGGGTGGATAAGCTCAAGCTGTTCACCGGGGGCTGCTCCGGGGCCGTGCAGCTATACTCGTCACATGTGCGGTACGCTGTCATGGCCCTGGGCGACCGCAGCTGGACGCAGATCCGTTGGCCGAAGGCCCCTAACGAGAAGGGCAAAGGAAGGTGGTCGATCTGGGATCATGTCGGCACGCCGCTCATTTACACCCAGTCTGGGCCGGGCGTGGTGACGGATCTGCTCGGTAACAACCTGCGGTACGACGAGGGGAGGAACTTGGAGAGTACTTGGGGCGTAATCACGGCCGACGCGACGATGCACCGGCAGATCGTTGACATGGTGGCTGCCATGCCCAAGTTCTGAACGTATGTTTTGTTTTGTTGGAGAAAGAGAGAGAGATCGGAGTTGGGGCGTTGGTTAGTTGGTTGGGTGCTTTTCCACAGGGTCAAACTAGGTAGCAGGGTCAATGTCGAAGTAACGGCTGTAACAAACTTGTCATCATGCGTCGACCGTACGGTACGTGCTGCGATGAATCAATTCACTTTTTGTGAATTCCTTACCTAACCTTCCGACTCGAGAGGAGAACGCCATCATCCCTCAAACGCCCTTAACCTAGCTTAACCCCCACCAACCACTTTCCCGCCCTCCTCTCCGTTGAACCGACTGTATTAAAGGTTTCCGTCCCCCCCAACCATCTCCCCTCCCCCCTTCCCAGAAGCAGCAGCAGCAGCAGCACCCCCCATCTCCCTCACAGCATCAGCACAATACCGCACCAACGCATCCGCCACCATCCAAAACCCCTGATCCGCTGGTGTCTCGAACCGGACCATACCCCGGTGATCGGCTGCGATGCCTGTTCGCTCGGCGCTATCGTCGTGCGGTGGTGCGGCGCTGGTGGGGGGGACTATGAAGACTGCTTTGCCGAGGGTGAAGAGCGGGGTTGTTGTTGTTGTTGTTGTTGTTGTTGTTGTTGTTGTTGTTGTTGTTGTTGTTTTGAAGGCTGGGTGGGGGTTAGTGGCGGAAGAGGGCCGGGAGGAGGGGAGGAGGAGGAAGAAGACAGAAGAGTTGCGATGCGTCTACTGCGCAGCCCCAGCGTCAGTTTCAGTTTCAGTTTTGGGCTCCATCCCAGATAAGTCTTTTTCTGCTCCCAGAAATAAAAGATCCGGAACTGCGGCATCAGCGGGATAAAGAAGTCGGTAATATTCTGCAGTGTCTCTGATTCGTGCTCGAGTACGGCGACGAGATCGGACCGGCGACTGGCCATTCCTAGTGTTGCGGCGGCACCGGTGAGTTTGAGATAGGCTAGCCATGTTGCTTTGGAGGTGCTGTAGTGGGGTGTGCCGAAAAAGAGGATGCTATAGGTGTGTGTGAAGATGGCGTGGTCTGTCTGGCCGGTTCTCGTTTGGGCGTAGCACAGGGCCTTATGGTGGTTGGTGTGGGATTCGAAGAAAGGATTAAGAGCAGAGGGTAAACTTACGCGTTTCACGACGATGCCACCAAGAGAGTGACAGAGGAAAATGATGGGCTTGTCAGCGGTGCCCGAGAGCTGAAATGTTATGTGTCATCAGCAAGCCGTGTATGTCCCAGATGACGGGCTACTATTTTAGGGAAGTTGTCTATAAATACTTACTTTCCTGTAGGTTGACAAGTCCTCGACCAGTGTGTGGGCATGATCATGAATCCGATCCTGGGATGGGTCGGCCCCCGTCAAGGATGAGAAGCTACCATTATATCCCCAGACAAGCACACGTGCGTTTTGAACATAGCGGGGTAGAAACTGAGGGTCACTAAGCCAACATATGCCGGAGTCTACCGTCGTCCAAGTCCCAAGGGCATTCCCGTTTAAGCCGTGAACGGCAACAATACTGAAACGAGGTGGATAGGTTGTTAGCCGACCGAACTTCGACGCTCTACAGTCAATGCCCTGCGGGTTTGAACGTACTCCACCTCCGGTTCCATAGGGGGTGGTGGACGGTGTATCTCACGGATGCCATACTTGACTTCCTCTTCCCTTGCCCAACCCATCCTCCCTCATCAAAGTACAGAGAGGTAACTAGGCCCGGATGCTAACACAAGGGGGCCTGAAACTAGACTGCCATCGGTACAAATGTGAGAAAAGGCTGGGCGATAAAGCAGCAGAATGAAGCGTATCGGAGAAGGGTAAAAGAGGAGGAAAGGAAAAATGTAAATAAAATCTATTTCAGCTCCATTAATGTTCTTTGTGAGATAGGATAATTGGTCTCTGGGCGCTCTCCAGCTTCCCCGGACTCAGGTAGGGTTCACTGCAGGCTTTTTCTGTTGCGCTTCCTTCTGAAACATGAGGATGCACGGTGAGCGCTTACCTGCAGCAGTGCGAACAACCATGAGTTCCCAGCCAATAGATCGGACGTTACCCCTCCTCCCTTACCACACTCCAACACTACCAATTTTCAAGAAAATCATGGGAGTTTTCGTATTGCTATTATGGCGAGATGCTTAAGCTTATGAAAGCTAAACCAAGAAACACCTACATGCTAGTTTTTAACCAACTTCTATGCAATATTTATTTTCCAGATGAGGCATGCTTTGTGACCGCCACGCGGCAGCCATCCGCGCTGGAAAGGACGAGTGTCAGCTTCTGTTTCTCAGTATCCACAGGCTCGATGACCTCCCCCTTAGGCATTTCGATCGAAGAGTATGTCTGGAGAAGCCGGACGATGGTGTATGACACTTCCATCAGCGCAAAATCTTCACCCAGGCATTGCCGTGGCCCACCGATGAAAGGGAAGAATCCCCATCCAATGCCGCGCAGCTCACCCGTTTCCCAACGCTCAGGCCGGAAGTCGTCAGCATCCAGCCCAAAGAGATTTTTCCGCCGTGAGTTGACATATTGCGAGAACACAACAAGCTCTCCTTTTCGGACAAGAATTGGCTTGTTTCCATCTGGGCCACCACCGGTTGGTAACAACGTCGTCTTAACGGCCTCGCGGTTGTTTAGTGGCACCGGTGGATACAAACGCAAGCTCTCCTTCACCACACACGCCAGGAAGGGCATGTCCCTAATCTGGGCACGCGTAGGGTTTGTCAGGTCGCCCATAACGCCCTGGACTTCACCACGTAGCCGCTCGAGCACTTGTGGGTGGCGTACCAACAACCGGCTGATTCGGGGATGGAATTGTTAGCAATGGACAAATCTGTGATGTAATAAACGGATAAGGAATGATGAGGATAATAACACAAAACAAGATAAAGATAAAAAAAGAAGAAAAGGGGATGGAAGAAAATAACGGGAAGAACCCCGGGAAAGGACCTACAAAGTCCACAACAAACAGCAAGCCGTGGTATCTCTCCCGGCGAGTAAGACGTTAAGCAGCTGATCGCGGAGATCAATGTTACTAGTAGACTCCGCTGCCAGCTGCTTGATAAACCAGGAGGCGGATTCATCCTCATTTGCCTTCTCCGTCTTTTCTAATTCAGCCCGATCCATAAAACCTTGCTCCCGAATGTACCTCTCGACGAAGCGGTGGACATTCTGGCATGCCTGGCGGAATGACGCCGGGTTATAAGCGGCATGGAAGGGGGCTAAGCGGAAACGTTTGGCCAGGCCCTCTTGAGCAACATTGAAACTCTCGGCAAACTCCCCGGTTTTCGGCCGCCTGGTCGAGGCCGGCTCGGAGACTGTACACCGACTTGCCAAAAAGCAGCTCGGTAGCTACGTCCATGGTCAGGTTGAAGAAGAGCGGTTGGAGGTCAATGACTCTGCCTTCTTCGGTCGGCATGCAGTCAATCATATTACCCACATGCTCATGGAAGTGACGGAGGTCTTGATACCGGGCACGGACAAACTGCTTCCATGGGACCTTCAGGAGAGAGCAAGAAAACATGCACATACACCCAAAACACACGAGACAGGAGGAAACAAAATACAAGAAAACGATATGGGAGGGTGACGGGAAGTTGACCGGAACTGGGGGAAAGGCGCCGGCTACCTATGACAGAGAACGAGCAAGGCCCGTCCTCAGCCTTTCGTCCCTTCCACAGAAGAAAGTGCCGTGGCTGGGTACTTCTTTCCCAACCCCAACCTAATAATTAGGGGTTAGTGAAGCCTCGATGGGGATATCGATCGGCCGATTGATTGGCTGAAGGCACCCCACCCCAGCTAGTGTTAAGTTGTCGCTCGCAGAACAGACAGTACATTTTCATCTCACTTTCCATCTTGCAGCACAGTATCACAGCAACAACATTATACGTTCTGAGTACTTCGTGCTTCCAAATTTACTGCTCAACCATGGCGCAGCGGGCGTTGGCTGTGTGACGGCTCCCCACTCACGGTCGGGCTTTAATCCGCAGCAGTAACAGCCTATTGTGTTGCCAGCTGAGGCGGTCTTTTCGAAGCGCACAACCCACAACGAGTGCGAGTCCATCGGGCCCCTCAGGAATTTCGACTGGTTCGAGCCCGACTTCTTTTCACTGTTTCAGCCGATGCGCCAGAGTAGCAGACACACCAGCTTGCGGTAGCCTGACGACTTTCTGTGCGGGCGAACTTGGGATAGTTTTCGCTCAAACATCAAAAACTCCTACCATCTGGGCAATTTGAGCCAAATTATCGCATTAGCTGCTGCAGATGAGATGAATGACCCGGAGCGTTGCTGTGAGCATGCCACTTGGTCTTCAGTGCCTTCACGATGCCAGCCAGGGCGCGGGGCGCGAGGAGCAGTTAGTTGAGTGAGTAAGCCCTTTACCCCCGCTTTTTTGTTTCAGGACCCTCGGTAGCCTTGGCTATTGCTGTGGCATATTGTGTTGTCACTTCGACTAATTCCAACATAGCATTGTCGCCGTTCGCGATGTGCATCAGGACCCCCTTGAAACTTGGACTCACCCAAGATCTGGGACCAACTGGCTCCGCGATTTCCTACCGCAGGACCTCCGCGTGGGGCGGGTGCTCGTTTACGGTTATGACGCGCCGGCCTCGGCCCTGTTCGCCGAAGATGCTCCGGAAACGATTCAACGGATGGCCGAGTCGTTTGTCCAGGAGCTCCGTGCGGATCGCCACCTTGCGGGCACGCTGAGAAGACCCATCGTATTTATCTGCCATGGCTTCGGCGGTGTGCTCGTTAAGAAGAGCCTGGTTTACGCTTCGACACGGACAGCCCCCAAGGTGACTCATTTATGGGATCGTTACGTGTCGACTTTCGCCATTGTCTTTTTGGTACCCCTCATGGCAATGTCGATAGGTCGAGCTGGCTGGAGTTTGAGGCTCAGTCTAAGTCAGCGCGTCACCAAGTAGGCGCCTTGTTCCGCATCGCCGGAGACAAGGCCGATTTACAAATGCCCCGTCTGGTCGATAGCGATTTTGCTCCGCTTGTAAATCAATTCCACCTGTTTTTCTTCTGGGAGGAACTGCCTACTCGCCTCGGTCCCCGGTCCGCCCTTCTCGTCGACCACAAATCAGCCGCGCCTAAGCTTGATAACACAGAAACCGCGGGTATCCACGCGACTCACGCTGACATGTGCAAGTTTGCCTCTAAGTCAACTTCTGACTACAGGACTGTTCTTGCCGCCCTGGCAATGTATTGTGAGAAGGCTCCTAGTATCATTGCCCGCCGGTGGCGACGGGCAGAGGTTGCCCTCAAACAGCTTAGGATGGGCGAGGCCGAAGAGATGGGCGGAGGTTTTGAGTTTGAGGTCAATACCGAGCAGCCATCTCAGAGCCAGGATATCCAATCACGGGAGATAACTCACTTTTATATTCCCGAGGAGACTACGCCGACCTTTGTAGGTCGTCAGGATCTGCTCACCACACTGCACACCACCCTCTTCCCTGACAACCGCCCGACGACACGCCCTGGGCGCAAGGCTTTTGTTGTTTTTGGGATGGGAGGATCGGGGAAAACGGAACTATGCTGCAAATTTGCGACGGACAATAAGCACGAGTTCGTACTGTCAATGATCTTGCGTGGTAGTGGACAGCGTGCTAAGAACGCAACAGGTATACCGCCGTCTTCACTATCCGCGCCGCCTCTCCCGAAACGATCAAAGAATCGTACTGTACCATCGGCCAGCTCGGGGGGTTCGAGCCGACCGAGAGCGCTGGGCGCCACTTCCTTATGCAACAAAAAGAGCCGTGGTTGCTCATCATTGACAACGCCGACGATCGATCCATTAAGCTGTCGCGCCTATTTCCCGCAAGCGGCTCCGCACATATTCTCGTCACAACGAGGGTGCGAGATTTTAGTCAGGAAGGGACACTCGGCTCACTTGAACTTAACGGGTTGAAAGAGGCAGAAGCGCTCCAACTGTTGCTCACCAAAGCGGACATCCCACAGCCCTTGGATTTGTCTACCACGAAGACAGCCATCCGCATCGCAAAAGAGCTGGGGTACCTTGCATTGGCGCTGATTCAAGCTGGGACCTCTGTGTACCGGGGCGTCTGTGAGCTGAGTGGCTACCTCGAGATTCATTCCGTGGCGTGGCGGAGGCAACGAAAGCAACAAAAATCGGAACTGCCCAGCGACCCCATCACCGACGTGATCGAAGTGGTGTACTCAACCTTCGATATTTCGCTCGGTGTTCTCGAACAATACGACAGCGTCCAAAGCCAGGATGCTACCGAGCTGCTTAGGATGATTGCCTTCTTCCATTTTAAGTCCATTCCCCTAGAACTATTTTCCCGGGCCGTGTCCGCCAGAGAAGCCGGACCGGTGGGCGGATTGTCATCCAAATCATGGACAGCAAGCCTCGTAGACGGGTTATGGCGTCGGCTTGAACCTCCCGCTCCCTTGCCAGGTTTCCTCAAAACTCCAGACCGTGAGGTGGGAATGCAGCGAATCCGGTTTGCGCTTGCTGACCTTCAATCACTTTCGTTCATTCATCTCAACGGGAAGTACATTTCGCTGCACCCCCTAATCCATTCATGGGCGCGGGATAGCTTGACCACGAGTCAGGGGCCATTATGGGATTCAATCGCCCTACACACCATTATGCGGTCCATCTCGCTACCCCCGGACAGTGAGACCAAGAAAGATGGCGAATTCCATCGCGATATCCTCCCACATCTCGAGACTTGCCTCTCCATCACCGGTAATCCACTGTCGTCTGATATGCTTGCAGCGAGCCGAGGTTGGCTGCGGGTTTCGTTGATTTTCCGGCCCACGCTTTTCATCTTAATACGGGATCAGATTCGAATGCACGCGAAGCCCGGCTGGGTTTATGCCGAGCGAGGTCACTTTGAAAAGGCCGCGATCCACCTGCAAATGGTACGGGATATGCTTGGTAAGCTGGCCGGTGAAGAGGACGAGAAGACGATGAGCGCAACGCTCGGCCTGGCCGGGGTATTATGGGGTCTAGGGCGTTTAGAGGAGGGTGTCAGGCTAGGGAGCTTAGTTGTTGACACGCGAAAGCGCATTTACGGGCTCAACGATGAGCGCACTCTCGGTGCGATGAACCGGCTAGGCCAGTCGTACTGGCTCAACGGCCAATACATCGAGGCGCTTGCCCTGCAGGAAACGACATGGAAGGGTATGAAGGATGTCCTCGGCGATAGCCACCCGTCAACCCTCGAAGCACTGGACAACTATGGCGTGACCCTCGGCGCATGGCATCGTTTCCAGGAAAGCCATGACGCACATCAGTTTGTCCTGGCCGCGCGACGTGCTGCCCTCGGCCCAACCCACCTCGACACTATCACCACCCAAAGCAACTTGGCAATGGCACTCCTCGGCTTGGGCCGCTCTGATGATGCCCTGACCGGTATGACTGAGGTCTATGAGCAGCGTCAGAAGCAACTTGACAAAGAACACCCCTGGACACTCTGGGCGCTCAGCTACCTCTGCAAAATCCACATCCACATCGGCAACCTCGCCCAAGCCGAAGCCCTACTAACCCAAAGTCTTGAAGCCGCCACGTGAAGTCTCGGGCGCGACCATCTCGGCATGCTAATGGGCCGCGGCCACCTAGCCCAAATCTATGCGCGCACCAACCGGCTTGACCTCGCCGACTCCCTCACGCGGGACACGCTAGCGCGGGTCGAGCGGTCTCGTGGCGCCACCCACCCAGACTGCGTGTACGGCCTGTGGCGGCTGGCAAGACTATGTGTACTCCGCGGGGAACGGGCCGCGGCGCTCGAGACGTGCGAGTTGGGGCTGAAGCGTGCAGCGGCGCGGATCTCGCTCGCACACCCCCTTGCGAAGCTGATTGAGGCGCTAAGAGATGGTTTGCTACGGAAGGACCCCGTGGCTACGGTGGAGGAGTTGCTGGGGGCAGAAGGGGCTGGGGAAACGGCCGGGTTTGGGACGCCGTTGATGGGGGCTGCCGGTGAAGAGAAAGACCAGAAGGAAGCGCCGGAAGCGAAGCGTATGTTTGCGAGCCCGCAGTTTGACGGGAAGGGTGAGTGGGATGGGGGCGTGGCAGGTCGTCCCGGGACAGCGGGTAGTGCTGCATCGTTGAGATTGGCTGGGAGGATGCCAACATAGTGAGGATTGGACTTGGGGTGTTATTTCCTTTTTATTCGTTCTCTTTTTTTCTCCCTTTGGCGTCTCGTTATTTTTCTTTTTTTCCTTTTTCTTGTCATGAATTTTGGACATGGACATTTATGAGATACCCAGTTTCTATTCCTTGGAACTACTTCGACATTGACGACTACTACTACATTGATCACTTCTACCTAGTTTAACCCTGGAAAAGCACCCAACAAACTAACCGGCGCCCCCAATCCCGATCTCGAATTCGCGACTCAATAGTTAGGCAGGCTTGGGCACAAGGGACACCATGTGGGTGAGCTCGTGGTGGATACCGTTATCGGCCGCGATTACGCCCCACGTACTCTCCAAGTTCGTCCCCTCATCGAATCGCAGGTCCATGCCATTCATATCCGTCACCACGCCCGGCCCAGACTGGGTGTAGAGGAGCGGCGTGCCGACATGATCCCAGATCGACCACCTGCATCTGCCCTTCCCGCTGGGGCCCTTTGGCCAGCGGATCTGCGCCCAGCTGCGGTAGCCCAGAGCCATGACGGCGTACCGCATATGCGACGAGGTTAGCTGTACCGATTTTTCGTAGCCCTTGTAGGCAAACAGCTTGACCATGGGCGCCTGCGTCAGGGAGCTCCTCTCCGAGTCGACAAAGACTAGCTCGCAGAACTTGGCCGCGCCGGGAATCGAGTTTGGTTGGGGCGGCGGTGGGAGTCCGGTGCGGTCGACCTTCGCGGGCTTGTCCAGCTTGCCGTTCGTAACCCTCCGGATCGTCACGCCGTGGCCCAGCACCGCCGCCATCATGATGCCCAGCCCTTGTTTGTCAATATTCGTCTCCAGATTGTCCACCGCCCAGTCCTGTCCGGCGGCCGCGGCAGCGGCGGCTGCCTTGGGCCTGACCACAGCTGGCGCCGCAAACGCCGTCGTGACCGGCATATTCGGACACGCCACCACGCCCAGTATCTCCCGCCCATCCAGCACTAGCCCCAGCGCTACGGCGTACTGCCCACCCTGCAAAAACGCCGCCGTCCCGTCCACGGGCGCCATCACCCAGTACCGCTTCCCCGGCTCCGCTCTTTTCACGCCCCCGCCGAGATCAAGTAGCGCCAGCAGTTCTTCCCTTGACTGGGGCCGGCCCAGGAGTGCCTCAAGCCTCCAATCCTGAAGCTCCGTGGTCTTCACGAGCTTCCACACTTCTTCCATCATCGCTGAGTTAGCGCGTAGCTCATCCGCCGTCTCCTGACCGAGAAACCCGTCCCGAGGGAACGCCTCCCTCAGTGCGGCAATGAGAAGGGCTCGGCCGGCAAATTCGGCGACCCTCACGGGCGGGTAGCCGGCTTTGGCCACGGTTTTGGCGCCTGGCCTCTTCACGTGGCCGAGCGAGGCCGTAGTAGCAGCAGCTTGAGCTGCGGCTGCTGTGGGGCGGGGAGGCCAGTTGAGGAGGACGGTTTTGGTTGCGAGCACGGCGCGTTGCACGGCTAGCTCGGCGACGTACCGCTCCTGTATGAGGGGGTCGCACTGCGGAGTGTCTGTGGTGGCGGCTGCGGTCTTCTTCTTGGATGAGCCACTGGCAGGACTAGGAGCAAGAACAGCAGCAACGGCCGGTAGGAGGCGCCGACGGCTAGGTAACGCCTGTTGCTGGTCTACGGCAGCTGCTTTGCTGGCAGTAGTAGTAGATCGGGTGCGATCTGCGATGCTCTGCTGGCCTTTGGTGGTTTGCGCCTCGAGATTTGAGGTTGAGGCGGTCGTGGGACGCTGCTGCTGCTGCTTCGGCTGTTGCTGCTGCTTCGGCTGCTGCTGCTGCCTCCGCTGCTCCCGCTGCTGCTTCTGCTGGGAATTTAGATGTTCCTTGATGTGCTCCATGGTGGCGGTGGTAAGTAAGTCTACTAAGAGTATAACTCCTAAGATGTGTGCAGGATGCTGAACTGGTTGACGATGTGAGTGTGATTGGGAAGTCTGAAGTAATGATGATATGATCCTTTTAAAGCCTCTAGACCGGAAGAGACAGGCGCTATTTAACCTAAACAACACAACACAATAGCGGTCCCTTTCAGCGGTGTATCTAGTAGGTGAAAACACTGACCACTGTATAACATCCTCAAAAGAGGAAGCGAGGTTCGAATTACCCCGTCGAACCACCTAGGAGTTACGCATATGAACCGTAGACTGTTACGAGTTACGACCGTGACACTACTTGCCCTCCAGACGCCGCCCTGACCCGCCAGGTCAAAACGCGTCGCATCTCCGTTCCGTGCTGGGGTTATAGTTCGAGCTCTCCTCGAGGCGTGTCATGTTCTTCTTCCTCGAGAAGCCTCTGCCAACTTGTCCCTGCGGGCCTCGCTTCGATCCCTAGGTTGTTCGCATCCAGCCTCGTGCTTAGGCCTGCCTACTGGCCGTCTGGTCTTTGTGTCGCGGCTCCTTGATGTCAAACCCGACGTACCTAGTAAGTGCGCAGGTGGGTCTGGGGTCTTGGTGGCCCGCGGACCGGGCCGTTCTAATTTTGACGTTGGGTGTGTTGTTGGGTGTTTTACATAGGGTGGTGGAGTGTGTTTTTTGTTGGTGGGTGGGTTGTTTTGGCTGAGCCACATCCTTACCTTATTATACAGTAAGTACGCTTAGGTCGTTCCTGTGATGTAAGTCGCTCTTCTCTTATTGCCGTTTTGGGAAGGGGCTGCCAATTGTATTTGTTGTGGGGCGCTCTGATTCCACTGCGTAGTTCCTCCCCCTCTCCCTTCCCAAAAAAGAAAAAGAAAAAAAGAAAACTTAGAGGAAGCAGAAACTTATGCCTGGGTATGCTTGGAAATAAACTCGCTTGGGCATTGCATTCTCCTTTCTTCTACGGGTCACTGGTGAAAATAGGTCGGATTCCTCTCCTGCTAAGCGACTTGAAGACATGCTGGGCCACATTTTGTGACACGAATTAGATGAAATCCAAGGGGATGGGCCTGTGCCGCAACGGACACCCATAATGGCGCTCCGAAGGTTGAGACTTGAGACTTGGGAACACGGGGCTTGGGTCTTCAGACGAGGTCGACGATCCGTTGACCTTGGAGGTATGGATGGTGGTGAGGGGTTGTCGTTGGTTTCATGGTGGGGTGGGTGTGGGGCTCCAGGACTAACATGCTAGAAACATCGCGACACCGTACGAAGTACCATGTGCGTGGTGTTCCATATCATCAGATTGATCGAAGAGAGAGCGGTTTGGGTCTGATACAGATAGTCCGTAGCCTGCGCTTGGAATGCGAGGAAGAGGCTTGGTTGATGATTAACTCTTTCATGAAAATAGCTTCTTGGATAACCTTAAAAACACTTGATGTTACTTGCCAGCCCAAGGATTCCAAACGCTCTTTCCTTCCGTGATTTCGTCCCGCTTAGATCAGGTTATCCGAGCTCCGCTCCCCGCTAACGTCCCCAAGAGTGTTTGTATCTGTTAGATACTTTTCGACATGATGTCGCGAGTTGCAAGGCGCACACAAGCCAAATCCTGACCGCAAACCAACCCGAGTAATTACCCCTCCCTTCCCTAACTATGCCAAGCTACCCAACAACCATCGCATCCAATAGCGACAGAAGTCCCCATAGCCTCAGCGCATAGTTGATGCCGCCAGCCTGCCGGTCCAAAATAACCCCAATAAGCAACGCGCCTCAGATGGCCACAGTACGTCTATCTACCTCTACGTTTAGATGAAGAGGGGGGGCAGAGAAATATACCCTTCTTATTAGATAACATCTCGCCTCATTTCTAGGTTGATCTAGTACCATACCACAGGTCAACCTTCTAAACCGGCCTATAGAGTTAATAAGGCTCTAGGTACTCGAAGGAAGGAAGATGATTACAAATATACGATAGTAAAGATAAGCAACGGGTATTTGAGTTCTGGCATCGGCCCCGTGGTAGGCCTCTCTATATATCTAGTCTGCTAAGCTCAGTATACTCTCTCCGCTTGTGACCTTGTCTTACCGTAAAACGATTTGTCAACATGCCCGGGCCCCGGTAATCCGGGCACGCCTCGGGATAGACGACCCCAATCTGTTTCTCGATCTATTTCCAGTAGGTTGCTCTGTCGTTCACCCCTTGCCGTATGTCACCATGTTTCATAAGCGAGCGTAACAGAGAAAGTCTAGAGTAAACCCTCCCTTAGTCTAGTAAGGCTGAATACCACCTAAAGACCAATTATCCTATCTTATAAAGAATATTAATAGGAGCTAAATATATTTTCATTTCCTCCTCTTTTACCCTTCTCAGATATATTTTATTATATTGCTTTATCCCCTAATGTCAAGGGCTCAGGCCTAGGGCCATGAGCAGTCGTGTTGGATCGTGGCCGATG